CTACCTACACAATAACCCCTGCATAGTGAATAAAATATGACATCCCCTAAAACCCTCCAATCAACCTACCGTCTACACTCAGGCCACGAGATCCCCATCCTCGGCTACGGCGTAAGTAAACCCATACTCCCCCCATGAACTCTTAACAATAACACCCCGCAAGGACAGTCACTAACCAAACCCCCAGGTCTATCTAATGTCCGTCTAACCCTCACCTCAAACATATCCCTCAACACTAACCAGAGTGAAAAACCAAAAGCTCCCCTTCAAAAACCGAAAGCCCCGTCCTAGAAGCCTTCAGCACCGGCTACCGCCATGTATACACTCCCCCTTTCTACCAGAACGAAAACATAACATGCAAAGACTAACAGCAAGGATAGGTCGACTCGGCAATCATGTACCGAAACGAAAAGGCCTGCGGTCGCGCAATCGCAAAGTCAGGCCTAGACCGCTCCCAGATCTTCTTTACGACCAAGATCCCGCCCGGGTCTATGGGGTATGAGAGGACTAAGTGGGCTGTCGAGAGTAGTCTTCGGGAAGCGGGGGTGGATTATTTCGATCTGTATGATTTCCATTTCTTTTTTTTTTCTCCATATACCATATAGTCTTAAGCAATTCCTACATTATAGAATGATAACTAATGCTAAAACAGGATTCTAATCCACGCCCCCTACGGCGGCAAGGAAGACCGTCTAGGCTCATGGCGAGCACTTGTCGAAGCCCAGAAAGCCGGGCAAACGAAATCAATCGGTGTCTCCAACTACGGAATCCATCATCTTGACGAACTAGAGGAGTACATCCAACAAGGAGGTGGCGGGGCCATCGACGTTGGACAATATGAGATCCATCCGTGGTGCGCGCGCGAGGATATCGTCGAGTGGCTTCAAGCGCGGAATATTGTTGTCGAGGCTTATTCGCCGCTTGCGCATGGGACCCGCATGGGTGAGGCTGTGTTGAAGGAATTGGGGAAGAAGTACAATAAGTCGCCTGCGCAGATTATGATTCGGTGGTGTTTGCAGAGGGTGAGTTTTCCATGCTTTTTTCTTTTCGCTGGTTCCTTCTGTTCTGTTCTGTTCTTGGATGGAGTTGGGGTGGGCTAATTGGGTGTTGGTTTGTAGGGTCTTGTGCCTTTGCCGAAGTCTGCAACTCCTAGTCGCATTAGGGAGAATGCAGAGGTGTTCGATTTCGAGTTGGATGAGGAGGATATGAAGAGGCTCTTTACGGGGGAGTATGACCCTACAGATTGGGATCCTACACTTGATTTTGATTAGGTGGTTTGTTTAGGGTTGTAGGGGTAGGGGTAGATCTATATGGATGATGAATTTATGCTATTTTGGTACATTTGTATTGCCAATCCGTATCTACTATATAGTTTATTATAGTTGCGATTGATTATGAGGGTATAAGGATGTGATAGATTACCGTAAACGGAAAGGCAAGGGCACCACCCGCGGGGCTGCTTAGATATGCTTAGCAATTCAACGGCACGGACTGCCCGAAAGTTTCCCTCCTCGCGACAACCCATTTACCTCCTCCCCAAATCCCCCCCATATTGCAACCAGACTATACCCTATCCCAGTCATAGTCTGATATCCATTCAACAGCGACCATGAAACTCATCCTCTCCACCTCGTAAGTGGCGATAAACCCCCTGCGGCAACAAAGATTACCCCTCCGCGAAAAGAACCAACCCCGCAGGCGCGCAAACCCCGAATCGACATACATACTGACAAAATACTGGGCAGAAATCTTATGACATCCGGAGGTCACACTGTCATCCGGCAGGCCTCGACCGAAAAATCCAACGTTGAGCTGATTAATTCGCTGCGGTCAAATTTCCAGACGGCGCAACAATTATCTTCGGCCGAGACGACAACGACCCCGCGGTATCGGGCTTGGACCCGGGAAACCGAAGACGGCCTCTACATTCCCGCGATTGATTTCGCGCAGCGTGGGCTGGCAGAGGAGAAGGCGCAGTACGATATCACGGTCAAATTGTTCTATTTGCCGGGGATTCCAGCGTCGCGACGATGTGCGCATACGAGGGAGGCAATTGATTTGGTCTTGAAGGAGTTACATGTGGATTCTATTGATCTATTGATTGTTTCTTTCCCCGGGATTTTGTTCGATGCGGAGGATGATAGTGAAGAGGAAGTGGAGTCTGATACTGGGAGTGAGGAGCCAGATGACTTTGACAGCATGATCCGCACGTGGAGGGTTCTCGAGGATCTGCAGGAGAAGGGCATGATTTCTCAGCTAGGTGTGGCGGAGTTTGGTAGTGAGAGACTCGCCCGGTTCCTGCCGCATACGAAGGTCAAGCCCTCTGTCGACCAGATCAACCTCAAGGATTGCTGTGTCGTGCCGAAATCATTGATTCTCTATGCGAAATCAGAGAATATCCAGCTCCTCACCCACAACGACTGCATGGACATCCTGCCCATCGGTACCACACGGGAACTCCTTGGCCCGGGAGAGAAGGGCGCCGGTATTCTTGCTTCCACTCCGGATGCGGACGACGGTATCCAAGGTGATGTCGAGCCGCAGTGGGTGGTCAAGTATACGGCTGTTGTCAAGGACCGCGGCGTTGTCGAGAACAAGGGGTATTTCGCACTCGCCGATATGGGAACCTGCGTCAAGGCTCGTCAAGAATGATCGATCCTCCTTTCTCTCCCTCTCTCGCCATTCCCCCGTCTGTCTATTCCCAGATTCCCCCATCCGAGGCGTACCTCATCTCCAGCATTGTGACGATAAAGCGTGGCGTTTGTCATTGACGATGAATGAAAGCATGATTCCTCCCGCAAAACTTCTCGATCGTAATCCCAACTCCAACCCATAACCCATAATCCCATAGCACATTAACTGAGAGACAAAAGTAAATAAAATTCACCCAATCATGCTCCTCTTGCGCCCTCTCATCCTAACATCCTGCAACCTCTTCAAAGTAATCGCAGCACCCTTATAACTATCCTTATACCCCTCAAGCACTTCCTCAAAGTACTTCTCAGCCTGAGGATGGGTACTGCCAAAAGCCCTCTCAAGAACATACAAATCGACCGCACGATCTTCCTCGGAAGAACTCTGCCCCGCCAACCCAAAATCAATCAAAACCACATCCCCCTGCATGGCGGGACTCTCCCCAGCCCCAGTATCGACATCCCCGGTCCTAAGAATCAAATTACTCGTCGTCAAATCCCCATGAATAACCCCAGCTTTATGCAATCCCCCAACAACACTCCCAATCTCCCTCATCAACCTCCTAACCTTCTTCTCCTCCCTCTGCAACTCCTCCTCACTCAACGAACCCCCAGAAGCCTTCATAAACGCCTCCCACCTCTCAAAAACGACCCTCACAACCAACCCCTCAATCCACTCCATAAGCAACCACGCGCCTCCATTCCCATTCTCCCCACCTTGTCCTTCCCAATCCAACGCCAACACCGCAGGGACATTAACCCCCTCCCGAACGAGCTTCACCAAACACCGCGCTTCCTGGAGGATGCGCTGGCGGGTCAATCGGCGGTCGAGGATGGGGTGGCGGTAGGGTTTCGAGGGCCGGATTTTCAGCGCCGCGGGAGTGTTGGTGTTTAGATGGACTGTTTTGTAAAGGTGGGCTTCAGCACCTTGTGTAAGGAGCGTTGGTTGTGGGGTCGTATTTGTGAATGGTTTTGGTAGTGGGGGTGGGGTGTAGGGATCTTGGGACATTTTGGGCGTTTGGATTAAGTCGAATTGAGCTGGTGTGTTGCTTGTTTATTTTTTGGGCTTGGATTGGTGGTTGCGATTGTGACGCTGAGGTTTGGTTGATATGATGGTATGGTTGATGTGGTGAGTGCAGTGAGTTGGAAAAAAAGTTACCGGGTTGGAGGTTGCTTGGTGGGGGTGCCCTTGTTGCCTGAGGGGTGAGGCATCAGTATATAGTGGAGGCGTGTTTCTTGGTGTACAATGGAATGGAAGGAAATGACGTGTAAGAATATGTGTACTTTTGATTATTCTTCTAAGCGCTAGGTTTAGAGCATTATTTCTAGGCTATCATTTGAGGTTTTCTGTTCGTCACCCTATACGACATTCGTGAGATATCTTCCGGCGGCGAAGTACTAGTAGATGAAGCCCTAAGTCATAGATTGCGGCAGCATCCAACAGATTAGATCATCCGGAGATTGTAGACTTAGATATTAACTTAGTATGCAACCATCTATAGTGAGAAGACTTAGATGTCTGATTTAAATGATTCGATATTTAACAATATATATTAATTAGTATTATTATAAGTATATCAAGAATTATAATCTATAGAAGACCATATTATCTGCCAGAGCGTTCAGTGGCCGGAGAGAGATAGCATTGAGTTTCGACTCTATCTGCCGATCTTTCCAGAAAAGACGTGAATAATTATGGGGTATATTTTAAGTTTCATCTTGGCTTGTACTATTGACTACTCATTGACTATTAATTGACTATTGATTGACTATTTGATGACTATCTCGTGGCTGACTATTGATCCGCTGAAAGTTTTCACCAACTTCTTACGCGTGAAGGACTCGAGGAAAAGATAAGCAGCGCAAAAGAGCTTTAGTTTTCAGCGCTCCCTTTAGCGAATTGGGAACCTATTTCCAGCTGATCTATCGTCGCTACTTCTATTGGACAACTCCTGGACTTCAAATGTGTTGATCTCCCTGGAACAGCAACAAAAGATCAACGGGCTATTGAAGTCTCAAATAAAAACAATATGACACCTCCACAGAGCGCTTCTATAGCTGGATATGGTGGAAGATCTATGCAAACTTCTCCGAATTCTCTACTTAGTTGTAAAGAGCCTAAGACATACATTACTGAATTAGCACTCATGAAAGCTATAAAGGGACGAGTAGACCCTGCCAGAATCTTGCGTTTCAAATTTCCGTGATCATAATCAGCTGTATCATTCAGACATTCTTATATACAAAGATATCTATATTCTTCTTTTTCCCATCATTGGCAATTCGATTTCTTCAACTCTTGCAAACATGCGGTTCTTCTGGCTTCTCTCCTCATTGTTCGTCACTGCCACCATTGCAGCTCCATTGACACCAGAGGAAATGGGTTGTCCTCCTGGCGGTGGAGTGTGTACGAATCCTAATGGTTACTCAGAGGAACAACTAGCGCAAATGGAGGTCCAAAACGCAATTCTGAGACTTGCAGAAGCGTCGGGTACTACCATGCCAGAACTTGTAAGTGGTAGCTGTATCTTTGAGTCGTAGGTCTTTGGATGTTTGACCACAAGCTGACATATACATTGAAAATCAATAGTGTGCTCGACTTGGTAAGGACAAAGTGCTTGAAGGGATGAGGAAAGACCTTCCAGCCATTGTCTCACTGTGCAAATGATTCCATCCAAAGGATCTACGTGTCTTCCCGGCCTGGTTCAACAACTGCTTTATCAGCCTTACTTGACAAAGACGGGGGTGGACTTTTTAAGTTCTTTCTATCGCTATAGAAACATTGGGTGCTGGTTGGTGTTGGGAGTGAAGGCCAGCTGCCAATCGTAGCGATGCATATTCTACATGTGTTTCACTGTCAACTATTTGCTCGGCTGGGATGCAGTGTACTTCTTTTAATGGGCCTTCTCTTTTGCTTCCGTCAACTTGGTTGTACCCCCTGTTCCCCTGTCTCTCCATCACAGTGTTCAATGCCATGTAATATACGAATTTGATATCTTAATATCTATGCATTTCTGTTCAACCCGCGTCTTCATTGTCCTTTGACCTGTCCTTGGACGATTCATAGATGCCCAGGATTTGACACAACAAAAGACCAGGACACAGGCACAATCCGCTTTGTCCAAAAATATTCCATGAAACAATTGTCTCTGCCCACTAACACAAACCGTCTTCTCTCCGTGCGTCCTCGAATAAATGGCCCATTTCGTTCTAGCCAGAGTATGTAGCTACTAGAGCTCACATCATTCCCTCTAGCTGTTGTTATATCTCAGTCAGCTAAATCAACGACATAATGGGTTCTCCAATTAGTAGATTGACCAACCCCCATCAAGAAATGGGGCAAAAGTGCAAGTAGACTACTCCCTCAAACTATCTCATCTCACGAACAAGTTCTGATCTGACAACAGGCTACCACATTCGTTGGGAATAAAGAGGAAAGCACAAGGCGTCTTGTGAGATATGTGCTTGAGGGACTCGAATACAATGGCCCCTTACACGCAAAAGGCTGCATGTGGCGTTATTATGTTAGACTCGCAACTGAGACTCTGGACTACCACAATCTGAGCCTAGAAGAGACTCTAAGTATATTTACTCCTCCGGCTCAGCCTACATGGCTGGATTGACTTAAGATAGGGTAAAAGTCAAGGATATAGACAGCGCCCCAGATGTGCTTATGAAGTTTATTGAGGATAACTTCATGAAGATTCGTATTAAAGGAAAAATGGTCAAGCTGACTGTTGAGCTTGAAACGGTAAAAGCCGCAAGGTGCCAAAAGGAGAAGCATCTTGATCTGATCTTTCTGATAGGCCTGTGGTCCATAGGGTTGCTGGTGGTAATGTTGGTCCTGTTTCTTGCATCTTTCTTTAAGTGTTCCCTGGGGCCTTTGAGTCCGTGTACTGCTCATCAGCTCAAGAATCCTTTTTGCTGACATAGCGAATACTATTGGCTATCTATAATCTTCGTATGAGCTCGTCAATCTAGTCAGTCAATAAACTTGTCGTGACTCACCTTTCCAGGTGTAATAAAGAACGCGAGAACAACATGGCGGTGTCCATGTATCCCCATTTATTGTACTATTATTTTATCATAGGAGCCATGTAGTTGTATATCCCTTGGACAGAAAGTTTACTGAAATTCGATCCTCGCGATGTTGCTGTTGATTGGTGGAAGGAACGATGTCCAAAAATTAATATATACATGTGAACGATTATTACCATGCAAAAGTCTATGCCACGCAATAGATAATATGCAAGACGAGTTGGAGCAAAGCAAGCGACTAGGAAGAGTGAGTAAGAATTGCAAGCTCGGAGATAGTGCTACACCGCAAACTCCTGCTACACTAGAACGATATTCGCATGAACGAGATAAGAAGCGATATATAGCGCGGGAGGAGTGAATTAGCTGAATTGGACGTAGTTTGCTTTGGTAGTGATTAGTCGCGGTATAAAGCCGGCAATGCAGAACAAAGAGCTTACCAGGGAATTGGCCTTCGCGTCCATCGACACGACCAGTCCACCATTCGTTCTGGTTATCCGTCCGTTGCACAATCTCGATGACATCTCCCGCCGAGAAACTGAGATCACCATGTGCTTGCGCTTCATAATCATACAGTGCTGTGACCGTTTCCACCGGTGCGGCGAATCTGGCTGGCTTCGGCTTCGGGGGCGGAGGAGCTGGCTTCGATTTGGATTTGGCGGCCGCAACAAAGCTGCTGCTACCGCCGCTTGTTGCAGCAGAATAAGGAGGGGGAGGATTTTCAACGACATCGGGATCCTTCTGCCGCGGGGAAAACTTGTTCTCCTTTTCCAACTTGTCCTTGCCAAATTTCGAGTTCTGTTGACGGATACCCTTGGTCTTGAAGTGAACAATGGTCAACTCTTCAGCACGTTCCTTAACATCGCCGCGTTTCTTCTCGAACGCTTCCTCGACATCCAACGTGAGGTCGAAGTAGCCAATGTTCATCCCCTGCATCTTTTCATGAAGAGTGTAGAAGACGTTCAGTTGCATGTAGTAGAAGGACTGGAACAGTGGTCGAATGAATTCTGCTTCGAGGGCAAACAATTTCGGCAGCTCATCCTTGAGCAAGTCGTTATAATAGTTATATTCCTGAGTGGCTTGTTCCACATCGTTTTCAGCCTTATAGAGAGCCTTTTCATCCTTGAGAGACTTGTCTTTCTTGTCTTGGAGCTTCTTGAGGGAGGCCCTATGCCGATCGTAGTCCAGCTTCTTATGGTCTCGTTTTACTGCGACTTTGCGGATCACTTTAATAACCTCCAGCAACTGATCCGCAGGGCTGATAATGCGGCTTTCAATCATTTCCAGCTCGGGCGCGAGCGATTCCTGGAGTTCGCGTACAATCGCTTCGTATTCTTCACAAGCCTGGATGCCTTCGGGGTTGCCTTCAATCGTATACGAGCTTGGATCCGATGCGCGGCCGGAGATCGGCTTATATAGTTCTGTCATGGCCTTGGAGAATTCGATCTGGTGGTTTAGCATACCTAATAGAGTCCATTAGCGAGACACATTAGGCCATCACGGGCGCTAGAGAGGGATGGAAGGACGGTACCATTAATGGCATCAAAATACTTCTTTGATTCATCGTGCAGTTTTTTAGTCTCCGTTTCGAGTTCCTGAAAACGCCGCTCTGCATCACTATAGACTGCGTCCTTCGTGTGTTCGCCAATGTTGAATTTGGCCTTGAACTGTTGCGGCGCTCGGACAATGCTCTTCTGAAAGCCCTTCAAACTCATGTTGGATTCTGTCGCAGGCAGCGAAGCACTCCGGAAGAGATCGGGACAAACAAGGAGAAAAACAGAGACGTTGACAAGTCAGCCGTGAGTGGACAGGTATGGGGTATAATTCAGAGAAGTTGACAGTGAGAGAGAAGGAGGCACGGCGGAGGTGGGGGAAGTAATCTTTCGTTCGGTGCTGTGCCTTGGGGCTTGTAGGGCGGCGGAGAGCCGGTGACGGTTAGACTTCAGTTCGTTTTGCTCGGCGCTGTGGCTGTGCTATGACATAATACCTCCTTCTCGGAGAATAGTTAGTAAGGTCGCTAAGCTACACTTTCCTTAGTGTAGCTATGCCGGATTTATAGCTAATGGGAAGAAAGATAAGGTCGGTAGCAAATAATATCAGCTTTAACACTAGCTATTGTTCTCGTGAGTGTGGATATGGTATATTGGGTCGGCCTCAAAAAGCTGTGGCACAAGCGCCGGGTCAGCAATGCCGAGTTAATAAATACACGCGGATCTCGGGGGTTCGTCCCTGGGTACTCCGTATGATTAGGCACCAGAGTATCCAAAAGTTGGCACGACAGGGCTGAGTGATTCTCAGGATGAACTGTTTTTCCTTTCCTTTCCCTTCCTGGTCCTTCCGTGGTTTGCATCATTTGCATCATACGTACTCCGGGGTTCGAATTTAACTGCTTTGAGAATTCCCCGCAATAAGTTAGTGACACTGGAAATCTTTCAACTTGTAAAAGAGTGGTTATGGGTACAATAACCATATATGGGACTTTTCCGCGGAGAGCTGCAGGTTTATCCGGGTTATCTTACCCCACGTGATTCTTCACATCCATTCGCAATTGTCTTGGTCACATACATTTGGCTTTAAAATGCGAAAATATATACTGAAGTGTCCGGGGATGTTGCCATTGAATAAAACCACAGTGAGCGCTACTCCAAGATAAATCTTATATACACATCTTCAGCAAAGCTACTATCAATTACTCTGTATTTTGCATTGTTTATCTACTTATAGTGCTCCGTAGTGATACTGCAGAAACAATCAAAAGCCCGATGCCGGTTCCTAAAGGGGAAAGCACCTTCGGACTATCTGATAAATCCGATCGGGCTTAGTGAGCTCGGCAATGATATAACCGTACCCAAAGTTTTTCCCATCTCTCGTTCTCCCATTCACTCCGTCTCCTTCTTATCACCAACTGTCTACCGTATATGGCACAGTTGCGGATCCATCTCAATGATGTCTAATGTTACCCAATCAGCCTTGAGACAGGCAACTCGCGCCTACGCTCGTCGACTGCCGTCGACGCAGCATGGCTCCTTCTCTTCCGCCCTTCCCAGACGGGTGCTCGCCACTCCATCGAGACGGTTCTATGTCTCCGAAACCAAGGCTGGAAATGCTCAGGTTTCGGTAGATACCGCTATTAAGCAGGAGCAGAAGGAATTTATGAAACAAACTGGGGTGCAGCCGCAGAAGGTGGAGCTCCCTAGTTCTGGTGTTTCCGGCGATGCCTCGATGAGCCCGTCTGCCGGCATCCTCAAGCAGGCCACTGTCATGGACCAAGGAACGCGACCGATCTATCTCGATATGCAGGCCACAACTCCAACGGATCCCCGTGTTCTAGACGCCATGCTCCCCTTCTTGACCGGAATTTACGGCAACCCTCACTCGAGAACCCATGCATACGGTTGGGAGTCAGAAAAGGCGGTCGAGCAATCCCGAGAGCATATCGCCAAGCTGATTGGCGCAGACCCGAAAGAGATCATCTTCACTAGCGGTGCTACTGAGAGTAACAACATGAGCATTAAGGGTGTGGCGAGGTTTTTCGGGCGCTCCGGCAAGAAGAACCACATCATCACAACGCAGACCGAGCACAAGTGTGTTCTTGACAGCTGTCGGCATCTTCAGGATGAGGGCTATGAAGTTACGTATCTCCCTGTGCAGAACAACGGCTTGATTCGGATGGAAGACCTCGAGGCGGCTATTCGCCCTGAAACGGCCCTGGTCAGCATCATGGCCGTCAACAACGAGATCGGTGTCATTCAGCCCTTGGAACAGATTGGAAAGTTGTGCCGCTCTAAGAAGATTTTCTTCCACACGGATGCTGCACAGGCTGTTGGAAAGATCCAGCTGGATGTGAATAAGTTGAATATCGATTTGATGTCTATTTCGAGCCATAAGATTTACGGCCCCAAGGGTATTGGGGCTTGCTATGTCAGACGTCGTCCTAGGGTCCGTCTTGACCCTCTCATTACTGGAGGTGGGCAGGAGCGAGGTCTGCGCAGTGGTACTCTTGCCCCTCACCTGGTCGTTGGCTTCGGTGAGGCCTGCCGTATCGCTTCCCAGGATATGGAGGTACGTTCTATATTTTTTTCCCTATGTTTACTTACAATTCCTTTTCCATTGTCGAATGATTATATACTGCAAATATGGATTTCCGAGACCGGTGGGGGTAGCTGCACGCCTAACGCGTGACCCACGGGCCTATGACGCCTCAGCAGGGGTAATGAGCTGGCTATGTTTTGTTTGCTTTGTTTGCTTTATGCGGCTATACGTCAGTGGGCGTCGCTAATCCAATTGACAGTATGACACCAAGCACATTGATCGTTTGTCGAAGCGCCTGACCGACGGGCTCCTATCCATGGAACACACACACCTTAACGGAGACCCTGAACACCACTACCCGGGATGTGTCAACATTTCCTTTGCCTACATCGAAGGAGAATCTCTTCTGATGGCCTTGAAGGACATTGCTCTGTCGTCGGGTAGTGCCTGTACCTCCGCGTCATTGGAGCCTAGCTACGTCCTTCGTGCCTTGGGTAGCAGTGACGAGAGCGCCCATAGCAGTATCCGGTTCGGAATTGGACGATTCACTTCGGATAGCGAGATCGACTACGTACTGAAGGCGGTGCAGGACCGCGTTCATTTCCTACGCGAGCTGAGCCCCCTCTGGGAGTTGGTGCAGGAAGGTATCGATCTGAACACGATCGAATGGAGTCAACATTAAATTGTAATATACTTCGGAGTGCCCTAATCTTCCGAATGGTCGTCCAAGCCGGTATTTGACTGTTTCATGACCGGTCTGGGTCTCTTTTTCTCTCTCTGTTTTATACTTTCTGTCTTGAAAATTCCCCATATCACCCTTGGGATGGCGTTGGCTGGGATTGCACTACGGATGGATGACGATCTCTGAGTAATTTGTATAAAGAATGAATCTTATTCGGACGACGATCGACTCTGGTTACTTTGGTAAATTGAACTAGTTAGCCGGGTTCAAAGACAATATGACGCCATTGCACGCGGTATTAGATCATTGAAACCTTAAGAATGCATCATATCGGGGGAATCGGCCTTCCAGTTGCAGCATCATGAAGCAATAAACCTGCGAAGAGGATCGAACAGCAAACCTGTAGCGGCGTGCCAGTGCGTAGACGTCAATTCCAATCAATTCTCAGGTTGTGTTTCAAGTTCTTGGATTGCACTGCTTGATTTATTTAAAGTTCACTCATTTGCAGGTCACAGATAGATGAAATATCATGATAATGATTGACTTGAATCATAATTTTTCACACATTCTTGATTAGAAGACTGGAAGCGGTCGGAGTAATGCAGTGGGAAAAAAAAGGTAGGTAGAAATGACTTCGGAGTTACTCCGGGGTTAACAGTCACGATACTTGAGTATGTCAGAACCCGAGGTTTGAATAAGCTGATTGATAACGGGGCGGGAAGTCCGGGTCCCTTGCGTTCACCGCAGACCTCAATGGGGTGGCGTGGGTGCGAGCGAATTTGCGTAGACTCTCGCTTAATGGGACGCGGCGGGTCCGAAATCGCACTCAACCGCCCATGGAAGCGGATTCCGGTTCATTCTCTAGCACTCAGACTAGTACACGTGACCAGACACCCCTTTCGCTTGCACCCAATGTGCTCCGCTGGTCTGGGATCAAGATAGAGTATATACTTCTATAGATCAAGCTCTTGAAGCTCCAGTTGACACTTCCATGTTACCATGTTCCTCCCTCCAAAGTCGATCCTGATCTATCCATTCTACTTTTCGACTTTCTGGACGACCAGCGCCCTCTCGCCTTACCGGAACCAATGGAGACCATATTGATTTCACACCCTCGTCACGGAGTCTGCTGGTTGGCGGCAACAAGATGCTTGCCCATTTATTCCGTGCTCTGTAGTCGCAGTTGGCCCACTCCCTCCCATGCACTTTATTGCGCATCAAACAGGCCTCTCGGCCACGCCTCTCCTGTTGAGCAACGGTAACGGAGGGGATTAATTCCCTCATGCCTATTGTCCCCGTCTTAGGAGTCCGGTGGCACCCTCGTTATTTACCGCTGATTAATTCTCGTCATTTCCCGTCCATCTCCCACGGTTCGTCGTCGGTCTTTTTCGTGAGAACTTTTATTTTCTGGCTGGTTCATTAAACTTCCTTCCTCACCGTGGATCATTGGTTTTCTTCTTTCCCCCCTGTTTCTTTTCCCCTTTGTTGCCACATCCACACATTTGGCTGGTGTTTCACTGACCAAACTCCCCTGGAGAAGAATACCGGAATCCTCGGCTTTCTTTCACTTTATCTGTGACCGTCCTTTGCCGGGGTTTTGATGGGATTTGAGTTAATTTCTTGATCTGACCTCATCCCTCCCTTCATTCTGGTGACTTCCTCTCTGACCGATTGTTAATCCAAGTGGTCACGCGACCATTGTCGTTTAAGACATCAGTCTTTTGAGTCTGTATGCTCCTCCTAACACTCTGGCCATCTAGACCTTCATGAGACTAACTTGACGTCAGTACTGCCGTGTGCAAAGCCTACCAAGGTCCTCCTAGACAGCAGTGTTGGACTAAGCAGACCTAGACGTCTTGTTCTTCTGGAATTCGTGTTAGACGTCAGCATTGTCGGATCCATTACTGTGATTCTATACACATTCTAGTCATCATGCTTCCTCCGGTTCCAGCACTAGCGGACTACAGCATTTCGCCAGACCATGGATTTCTTCCGCCCGAGCCACCCCTTGACGTCCTCCCAGACCCCTATTATGCTCGGTGGGAGTGGATGGTCTCGAATCTACAATCGCTATTGCTAAGTAAGAGGATTCGGGGCGTTGTGGACCAGATGCCTATCTTATGCACGTCCTACCTTCAGTCCGAAGGCGAGTGGAGAAGGGCCTATGTCGTCCTAGGATTCATCCTTCACGGATATGTCTGGGGAGGAAGCAAACCATCTGAAGTAAATCACACACGTAGTCTCTTAGTCGGGTTCATACTGACTCTTGCCAGAAAGTGCCTCCTCAAATTACCGCCCCCCTGCTAGAGGTTTGCAAGCATTTGGAACTCCCTCCGGTTGCTACATATGCGGGAGTGTGTCTGTGGAACTACAAGTCTATATTCCCCGAGGAAGCTGCGGATGACCTCAGTAACTTGAGTTGTCTGAACACATTCACAGGCTCGTTGGATGAACAATGGTTCTACCTCATTTCTGTTGCCATCGAGGCTCGTGGTGCGCCATCTCTATCGCTGGCGCTGCAAGCAATTTCTGCAGCCCGAGCTGGAAACAGCCTGGTGGTGACGGAATCGCTACAGAGGCTCGCCGAAGTCATCGATGAAGTAGGAGCGCTGCTAGAACGGATGTACGAGAACTGTGATCCATATGTGTTCTACCACCGGATTCGGCCATACCTTGCTGGTAGCAAGAACATGGCCGATGCGGGACTTCCTCATGGTCTGCTCTATGACGACGGGAGCACAAAGCCCGAGTATCGTCAATACGGAGGTGGCAGTAATGCTCAGAGCTCCTTGATTCAATTTTGGGACATTGCTCTGGGTGTCGAACACCGACCCACTGGAGAAACCCGTTCTGAAACCGACAAAGATGACAAAGAAGGAGTTACGGGAGCACCCCGCCACGGATTCATCCACGAGATGCGGTCGTATATGCCAGGTCCTCACCGTCGGTTCCTGGAACATGTATCCGCAGTGGCCAATATTCGGGAGTATGTGGAAGCTCGTCGTTCGGACAAGGCATTATGCATTGCATACGACGCTTGTCTTTCTATGCTGCGAACCTTGCGGGACAAGCACATCCAGATGGTGTCCCGCTATATCATCATTCCATCCCGCGATGCCAAGGGCCGGGCACCCCGGTCTTCCAGCCCACGCAGGCATGCCGCTACCACCAATTTAGCGAACACTCGCACCGGCGATGGAAAGAATAAGAAGCTACGAGGAACGGGAGGTACTGCCCTGATTCCCTTCCTCAAACAGGCACGAGATGAGACTGGTGAGCCAGCCATCGATGCGTGGGCTCGCCGTCTTCTGAGTAATGCACCCACCGAAGCCAGCTTTGCAGCCCTGAGCAAAGTCGGCGAGCATCCCGACGGTCATCTGCAGGTTGTTGGATTGTCAGGGACCTGGGCAGCAGACGATAGTGAAGGAGGCATTTGCCACTGGTAACCAACCAGGCGCGTATTAGTTCGACATGGACTTGTGTGATTTTAGCGAATTGCGTTTGATATTTTAGCGTTTTTAGTAATTACTGCCGATGCAGTTTGCCCAGTCTAAAAGCTCATGGGGACCGTCATTCAACAACTACCTTGATGAGCCGATGACATCAATTCACCCTCTACAGATGTGATGATACCATTGTGAATAGAGCTTATAGCTTGTGACCTCCCTTACATGTTTATGGGTGTCCGTTTGTCCGCTCCCAGCGATGTTACTTTTTCCAATTGACTGCGATTAATCTGGTCCAACTCTCATCTTAGTGCTGCATATACTCTCGCCTAACGCTGCTAAGGTAAGGATTTGGGAAATCCGATCGCTTCCTTGAGGCAATCTCACATTGGTATTAACACTGCGTTGAAGCCTGCCATTGCCATATAATACAGAGCGAACATTGATAGAATTAATGAAGTAGTGTCCCCTGATTTTGAATGTCCCTGCCTCAATTAAATCCATTCAAAAAGGATGCGCAAGTTTATCATGGATCGTTTTAATGTCAATCTAGTTGCAATTCTTCGTCCCGTGTATGTGCTTGACAAACTCGCTTGCAGAACAGACAAGCCGTATCTTGGAAGTTTGGCCTAACGAAGGGTGACCTAGATGAAATTAGCACTTTCCTGATAGATTTGGCTGGATAAGTATAAAAGGTCCTGCCGTGCTTTGAAACCCAATCATCGTACTATTTGAGTGCAGTTGCATAACGGGCGGCGGTGAGAAGCGTCCAAACGTCCAGTTTGGTTTCACCAGAGGCTTCCATTATTTTGTTATAGTTAACATCAAAGTGTGTTTCTCTTTGTAATAACCAAAGATCATCAAATCGTTAGTCTAAACAGAGCAATATTTGAAAATATTATTGACGTGTTGGTAGAGGCGAGGTGGACGACATCGCAAGGTTGGTTTTGGGGGAGAACGGAATTCCATGCCCTTTATAACCCATGTTGTAAAGTTACGAACTCCACCCCTCCATTGCGCAAAGCTGAACGATCGACAACCACCTGTTGCCTTTGCATACGTACAGGTGGCATTGGTTCCAGGGTGGTAAAGACGTAGTCCTCTGAGTTCTGTTCCAGCGAGTCTTCGATCTACTCCGAAGTAGCGCGGAATGGATCTTACTTTCGACTGAAATCATACAAATTAGATGCATGTCAGCTACAGGAAACCCCGGCAGCTGAGGAAAGGTTGGGGCCCCACTAATGGAGGCACATAAATGAGAAATTTAGAGCGCCTCGCTTAGATCGTCTGCGGGAGAGATCTCGATCATCATGACCCACATTGGAAAGGGCTAACGTAGAACCTATACATGGCAGGACTTATGGAACGTCAGACTCCTTGTTGGGATATTTCTTGGTGCTGTATCCACGATATCTCCATTTTTATTGGTATTGAAGTTCTAGACTGCAACCCTTTCTCCGTCAGTTCTAGTTAATGTTATCCAGAGTCGGGTCTATAGCGGTGCATCTTGTTGCGGAATTAGCACGCATACGGCAGTGTCAACTTAGCGCGGACATATAGACTAGTGATCTATAGGTGTTGTACGAGATGAGGCAGGGAAAATGGGCCATTAGGGCTTCTACCAGCCTGTGTGTGTGTATGAGGATCGCCATATGATGTATGAGCTTTGGCGAACAGTCCTTGAGAGTGTCTTATATTCACAGATATCACTTTCTAAATAGCACTTCTTTATCTATGGTAACTTCGAGTCATGATGGCTGTGGCCAGCTTAGTTGGATTTATAACAAAGAAAATCCTTAAAGGTGAGAGGGACGCTAGTTAAATAGCTCACTTTCAAATGGTGAATCAATTATAAGGACGTTATATGAGTATAGGGTCTCGAGCCTGAAGTATATTCTATCTTGGTGAAATATTACCGGAGTAAGCTGATCCCCAGCTATGCAAATTGGACGCCTTGGCTATCTACGTAATTACCACTGGCGGTGTCTCTATAACCATTCTCGTAGCCAGAACTTTAGTGTCCCCTTCTAATTTCCTGGAACTTTTTGCAGTACTGTTATCTCGCCATCTCACCTTATCTTTTAGTTTTTCATCGACATCGTCTCTGTAGTCCGTGGACTCGGGCTGGTGTTTTACAACGGAAACCCCTGTTCAACCTCGCAACTATACATAAACAACACTTGCCAGTTAATCGCAACAGAACAACTTAAACTACCGCAGTCCGAAACCAATCAGGGCACATCTGAACTGCTGCGTCTGCAGCCTCTTCTGTGTACCACTTCGATTGTCGGAACTCAGCCTTCTGTAGCACCTTATAAGCGTTATGGGGGCTGGTACCATCACAAAGACCCCGCAAACTTCGCTTCTCTTCAGTCATAGGAGTAGTCATGTAAGACCATGCTGTGGTAGCCTCTCTAGTTCCACGAGTAGCGAGACTGATATCAAGCCCAGAACTGGCTTGCTCTGGGAGGAACACAGCATATTCATTCTCTCTTAGTAAACCCATTCCACTGTCATCCTCCTCTATGCTCTGCCGCTCGTTATTTTCCAATGTCAATGTGGCAGTTGTAAGGGCAGGCTGCAATGCCCACGCTTGGTTTTCCGCTGCGTCGTTAACTGGGAGCCAGTCCCAGATACGATTGAAGTTAATACTGATCATGGATTTTGTGATTCGAGCTCCCTTCTGGAATAGAAACTTCCATTCTTTTTGTGGAATTGTTTTGTCTTCCCAATACAAAACCTCGGTTAGGGTTCGGCCAGCCACATCCACTGCATTCAAATCGGTCCCCTTCTGGGCCATGAAATGTAAAAACTCAATCCGAGGTTTTAAGTCGATTACAAAATCCAAATGAGCAAAGATGTGCAACAAAGGATACCAAACATTTGTGTAAGCCCAGTGCGGGCGGTAGTAGGTGTTGGGATCTGCTCCACTATCAATCAGATGGCGGAGAATCGTCAAATGAGGATCACCATTGGCTTGACACTCATGGAGTATCATGCTCTCTAGTGCTGTTTTCTCCTCGTATTTTGCATTGACATCAGCACCCTGCTCTAGCAGAAACTTTGTCATAGTCGGCTTCGGTGCCTGATGCTCGAGATAGACAGTGAAGTGCAGTAAGGGCCGACCAGGCTGTGGGTGTAGAAACTCTTTTAACAAGCCATCATCTCTGGCGTTTTTAATTAGGTGCGTGATATATCCCTTCATGTTCATTGCTACCGCAAAGGCCGGGAAGTTGAAATGCCAGTCTTGAATATACTTGCCAATAAAGCGAGAATACCAACAGGCGGGCCAATTTTCACCTGAGGTGTCAGTCAACTGCTGGTCAAGGTCATCAAGAATCGAAAAGGCAGTATCAAGCTCTGTGGATTGTAATGTATTCTCCACCTGGGACGCATGAAAAGCGACCTCTTCCATAGCATCGAAGGGAAATCGCAGCTCTTCTTGCTTGCTCTTTGGCAGCTGGAGCCAAGCTTTGGCGAACGCAAGAACATAGGTGTCTCCGTTGCCCTTTGGCTTGTATTCGGAGGTCTCAAAAAGTACATCCAGCAGCTTATTTCCGACAAGGAAATCCTTGCCGGATCGGTGTACCAATTGTACCACATCTTTGCTAGGGTCGATTCGATCCCTGAATTGCACTTTACTAGCAATTTCCGTTGAATCTTCCGTATCTGACACATCTGCCTCTTCAACGAACCCAATAGGACCCGCCAATGTCTGTGAGTGGGTAGAAATCGTATCGCCCATCATGCCTATAAGGTTCGACTCTTCGTGAGGGGTGGAATGATCATAGCCAATCGACTTGTTGTATGGCACTATCTCCAAGAAGCATTTACAGCAATCGATTAGCTGACCTTGAAGCCGACAAGGATCGAGGAAATCTTTTGCTGTGAGGTGATCAACACTCGAGTTATCCGACCAAAGATTGGATTTTCCATCGATGTAACGTTCTGCCACATGAACTACTAGAAATAACTCCAAGACAGCCATTGGTTTCCGAGCCCGAAGAACAACCTCTAGCATGATGTAGGCCCTTTGGCGTAATTCAGGATCAATCCTCTTGAGCATGTAGATATACAACTCGTCCATCTGTGTTGGCAAACCTTTCACCAGGCCAAGGAGGCTACCCAAAGCTTCACGCCGTGTCAAGGCTGTGTCAACCTCTGCAACAATAGAACTTGCCCACAGAAAGACACCGTCAGCGTTGTCACGTATGTAGGCCAGCACGGCTTTGAGTCGATCCTGTATTGAGGCCGTACACTGGTCACGGAATCTTGGATTTTGGCAAAGGCGGACCAGAGCATACCGCCAGATGTCGTCTTTCGTGTTCTCATGAATTTCCAAACGCCAGCAATCGGCGAGCAGATCGCGCATACCCTGTTCGGATCTACTTGAAACACACACTTTCACAGTGTTGTCACAGGGCGCATGGGAAGGCCGTATGAGCTCCTTTAGGAAGTCAATTGCGGAAGTCGCACTTGCTGGATCCTTAAGCTCATCAAGCCCGTCAAGCACGACCAATGCACGGAATGGAGTTTGAACCTGGGACTTGCAGTATCTCAACGCGTTTTCAAAATCCTTTTGGCCCCATTCGCGAACCTTCAGCCCGACATTTTCGCTCTCCGACTTTCGAGCATGGCGAATGACACCACGGATGAGCGCAGGCCGTTTCCTAAGCAGCTGGTAGAGGATTCCACCTAGCATTGGCTTCCACAACGTCTGTTCCTCGGTTCCTCGGTTCGTGATGAAAGCCTCGAGAATGACCCATTCCCTTTCACTGCTATTAGAGACCTCCTCTGGCGTTGGGTGTTCGCCGAGGTGCTCCCGAGTCTTTGGCTCATCAAGGACATGTTTCGTTGCAGTGGACTTGCCAGAGCCAGGTTTTCCTGTAATCCAGAAAATGTTGTTTTGCTCTTTGCCCTGGAGCCATTTTTGGAGCGATGATATTCCTGGGGCATTAATCGAATCCGTCCCGTTTTTGTGCGCTTCAGCCTCATATAGCCACTCAAGAGTCCCTTCGGTTGATTTCACGATCTCTTCTTTTCGTTGACTCGCGGTTTTTCCGAACTCCTCCAAGCTTAGGAGAAGACCTAAGCAAATTTTAGTCTTTACACATTCTCACGCAGTTGATGGAAGACCACACTTGATACTCACCATTGCTCTCTTGATCGAGTTGGCCCTTGACTCGATCAATATGACGTGAAATTTCCGCACCGACCTTTTTATAGTCGGGGTCATCAATGCTGGGGAATTTGCACATTTTCATATGGTCTGCGCTGATGTGGTCATTGCAGTCGTTTCTACCACCTTTAGACGACTCGTCCTCGACAACCTAGCCAAATGAAGGTAATTAGTGCCAGTTTGTAAATTGCTTATCATCCAGGCCTACCTTTCCCAAGAATCCATTAGCTTTCTGGCTCTCTTGAAACGTACTTGTTTCAAACCCGTTGTGTTCAATCATCCAGTCGACGGTTTTTTCAAACTCGCCATTAAGCTTAGTTAGCATCCCATCGCTGCCAGTCAGCGCTTGAATGATGCTGTCATTGTACTCTGCACCCACACCTTTGAGAAGCCTGCCTATCACATTCCCATAGCTGGCGAGCTGGCTTCCTCGGTGAGGTGTCCCGAAGAACACGATCGCAAAAGCAGATTCAATTATGGCGTGGTGAGCCTCAACCTTGGTATTCAGGCACTGGTTCAAAACCTATCGAAGCATGATTCAGTCCAAGGCCCCCATTTCAGTCGCTATTTCACTCTTCAGATCATTCCTTACCTCTTTCACAAGCAAACCCCCGAGGGAATGAACAATGAACATCAGCGGACGGTGTTGACACTTCGTCCGGAGCGCAGCCACTGCATTGCGCAACGACTCTGCCAGTCCTTGGATATTGCAGAAGTCAACTTTGGTCTTAAATCCGTAGGCGTGGGAATTGTATCCATAGGTCATGATGCGGGCGGATTTACACGATTCATGCTGTGCGAGAAGCGCCTTAGGCCAGAATACAGTTTCCGTTTTCTTATCCCACGGCCATCCAGTTGTTTTCTTGTATGTCCAGGTTGACTCAGGGTGTCCTTGAAGGCCGTGGATGAAGATAATATCCAACTCCGGATCGTCCCCACCATCCTGGAGAACGGTCATCCACGTGTCTCCGACTTTTACATCGTTTTCAGACATTGCGCTATTCGCTAAATGATTTCATCCGTTTTCTCAGTGGGGTTTTCTGTTTGGATTCTTTCCGACAACTGGTTACTATTCGTCAGTTGTGATATAACAAAAGACAAAATGGCTGAGGGTACCTTTATAAAAGACCATCCGTCCTCCATCGGGACCAACTCACGCTATCGATGGCTTCCCCTCGTTTTGTGGAGCTGCCTTGATCACTTAATCCAATTCGCCGTGGATATGTTGTTAGTGGCTGCCAGCACATCGCTGATCCCACCTTCAGCTTTCCACTCAACATTACTGTCAGCCACTATTATCGTTCATCCGGACCTCCACTGATGATATCCAAGCGAATGAAGACAAACTGTGGGGCCTCGATGGCTATTGAGATCGACAATTATGATGCGCCTAAACACCCGAAGATCGCGAGGTGGAACCGTGAAGGCTGATAGCGTGACAGGCCATAAGTCCATCACAAACAGCCTCGAGTCCGTGCAATCCAGGCATTGTTATGATGTGTCATTTTGTAAATTGTTGTTTTTTGTGTCAGGAAATATCTAAACCTCAAAAGGCTTATCCAAGTGTTTTAGTCGCGATTGTATATATGTTGGTCGATATAGCAAGGAATGTATAATGTTTTGAGTTTATATAAAGTCTGACAACAAAAGGAATATGAATTAGCTTTACCTTGCCTCATATATGGTCTGAAGACAAAATACAATGTAGTAAGTATGTAGTAGAGAGTGCATATGTAAGTGTTGGTTAGAGGGAAAGAACAAAACCAAAAAAAGAAAGTGCATCATCCGTGAATCGAACACGGGCCTCATCGATGGCAACGATGAATTCTACCACTAGACCAATGATGCTAAGCTGATGTCTTGGCATATTGTATTGACAATATGTAGCAGCCGATCAAGTTGATAACAAAGTTACCTCATACATCATTAGGGAGAGGGGGCTGTGTTTGGATTCACGTCAAAAAGGGAGTAGAGAAGGAGGAGTTGACGTGAGGAAGATCGGAGTGTACGAAGGGGAAAAGGATGGTGTGAGTATAAGTGATATTTTATATAGCACCGGGGTAGGCTAGTCTAAATTGGACGAGAGTTAGCTTTCGTCGTAGAGGAGGCCAACTTTCGCTGTCGCTTTGATTATGTAGTGAGATAGTATATTAAATCGGCGAGCCGCCGCTGGAAGTTGAGAGTGGAAATGCGGCTTTTTATGACCTCAGTAACTGTCATTCTCAGCGTCAATTTCACAGGTCTTGACATTCTAGTTGTAGTAGTGCGTAAAACTCGGGAAGTACTGAGTTGTAGTACTCTAATATCGGGGTAATCGGGTTACGATCTACTAAACTACCTAGTAATACATTCGAGAAGTTGAGACCAACTACGATATTATAGAACTTGCTTTGAACAAGTGATCATGTAATAGAATTCTGACCCGTGAGATTCTAAACCATCGATTAAAGTCATAGCAACGCAGAAGAATGGTGTATCAGAACTTGAAGCTATTAACGAGCTTCTTCGCTTCATTGACAATAGCAAGACACACCGGTTCCGGGCCAGTCATATCACATAGGGACCGGTACGTAGAGGGACAGTCAGGAGCTGGGGGGGTCTGATGCCAGCCCCTCTGACGCTCTTGTAAGGTATCGATGAAAGTCATAAAAGAGTTCTCCTTACTAGACTCACTACCAAAAATCTCCACTTTTACAGTTCTGCGCATGATACTCGCCCATTCCGAAGCGGCGATATCTACCGAAAAGGACGATAAGACGTTCCCTAACGAAGAAGGATCGTGTAGTGCTTCGGGATTTGAGGTTGAGATGCAGAGTTGCTTCCGTTCGTTGGCATCGGACGCTCGTTTCATTTCTGCATCGATTGTTTCGAGAGCTCGTGCATAACATGCCGCGATGCACATACATAGTACGCCCAGCATGGTGCCGTTTTGAACGATGGACAAGTAACGACGCGGGCACTCTTGGCAATACAAGACTTGTTTCGAGGAACTGACACAGTTTCTGAGCAGGACCAAGTCGCCTGGGACGGCGATCCGATCTTTGGCTCGGAGCTGTTCCATCATAAGGTAAAGCAGGGAGAGGCATGCACAGCTGCTGGGCTCGGCTTGACTATGGAGAAACAATGGATATGTTGCTTGTGATTCGCTCTCGTATATTCTGAAAAAGCATTAGCACTCGTCTCTTTCCCATACCCTCCCTGAATGTATTTAAGTAAGCATATACCGGGCATGATTTTCAAGGTTCAGCAGATATGGAGGCTCCGCCGTATTGCTAGTATCAGCGACCGGATTTTGACCAGTTCCCGGGGGCTCTGCGGCATCTGTACTAGCCTGTCCACCCCTGGGGGTTTCAGGTGTCCTCTTAGGCGCTTTCAACGTCAGACCATAATGGCAATCATACTCGAGCTGTACACATGTCCCGCATGGCTCCTGGCCATCACATTTCCGCTTGCGCGTGCGGCATGACTCGCAGGCAACCTTCGCACGGCGGCGCTTTCGTAAAAGCCCGGAATTTGAAGATGGAGGAGATCGCTCTAGATCCACCATGGTGTATATAGTCGTACCCGGTAGTCGGTCTGTGTAATGCACAGGGAGAGAAGGTCTTCGGGAACTGCGGGAAAAGCGGAAGCCCGTAGGAACTGTTAATCCGCTCGTTTACCGAGAGTACCGAGAAACCATGTACATATAAATGAACAAAGTACCTACAGTAGTACAGATCCACACCCATATTGAGCAGTCGTCCTAGGAGGTCACTCCACTAGCCCAACTTTCTCATTCAAACTTGACCAAAAGGACAACATGAGCTTGAAACAACAAATCGCAGTTGAACCGCTGCGTCCTGGCCATTTCTGCTCGTTGGAGAACCCTACACGATTGGGGTCTCTCTCGGAGTACGTCTTTGGAGGAAATACCATTGCGATTGCAGTGAATGCAGCCTATCAAACTGTTAACCATACATATCACTTATACTCCCTCTGTGGCCATTTTATCCGCCCTGCAACAACGGACCGAAAGCTCTTCTGCCACGTTGAGAGTATAAGGGATTCCAAAAGTTTTCAAACTCGTCAGATTCGGGTATCCCAAGCAGCAGATGATGGTGCTAATAGGCTATGCTTGATAGCTATAGCAGATTTCCACATCGAAGAACCCTACTCGGTCGTAACCTATTCTATCCCTCCTGAGACCGAATCCCCGTCCAGCACATCAAGAGGAAAGTACTTTACTCCTCCACCCAACGCCTCCAAGAATCGCGATCTTTATAGGAATTTGGAGCATTTTCTCGACATGCGGGCCTTTCTTGACAATGAAACGAGTACGGAAAACCACAAGCAAGATACTAGATTTAACAGCCCTCCACCTGCCCCGCCAGTAATCATCAAGGAAATGTTCCGGGTACCAGAGCCCCTCGGAAACGAGGCAGAACAGATGTCGGTTCTGGCATTCTACGCAGACAAGGGTTTGGCATATATTCCGGCAATCCACAACGGATATGACTTACAGCAAGCGAGCGCCTGCGCGACCTTGGATTTTTCACTTCGTGTATTTGTTCATAGTCTGAATCTTGGGAACTGGCATATGGCAGAACAAAAGGCCATAGTTGCAGGAAATGCTAGAGCCTTTAGCGAGGGGAAGATTTGGAATGAGGATGGTCATTTGGTTGCAAGCATGACTCAACAGACTATCTTGCGCCCAAGTGCCGGGCCAGGGGCTCGTTTGTGATTTCGTCCTTATGAAGAAAGAGAGAGAATTGGTTCTATAATGGAAGGGGTTTATGACTGAGGAATGAGTAGGTGCGGGTGTAGTGCTGCTGTTTCGTCCATTAGCTCTATACTATGAACACTAAACCAGAGAATCGACAACTACTACTTATATTCGATGGGCTTCGTTTATTGTTGAAATAGGAATTCTCCAGCTTGGAGCCGGGCAACAGGATAGTATTGTTCAAACGCCATGAATGCTTGGCTAGGATCTATTTAGACTAGTATGAACGCAGTCGTCACTCTAACTATCTGTTTTGTTTCATAATGATATTAAGACAGGCTGCCGTCTCGTCCTATCTTCGATTGCTTTAGAGTGCTAAACATTATTTGATACCGCGGTATCGAGCGAAAGTCTGTCGGGCGTTTACACTTGTTGGGTGTAACTGATATCTGTAAACGTGTTGACCTCCGGCCTTTTGGTCAAATTTCCGATTATTCTAGTAAGCCCTATCTGGAAATCCTAATCTTTATTTTCGTTTTATATAATAAAAACCTCACAATGAGAGGAATCTATACAGTTCAAGTTAAGACGCCTCACCAACCTTCTGATACGTGTATTTCAGGCCATCCTTGCCTTGCTCCAACCCATATGAAGCACAGTGGGTTGTATTTCAAGATCACATTGAGCACCGAAAGCCAATTGAAAAAACGATGACCGATTCAGTTGCTCCATGCAGTCCACAACGCCTAGAATATGCATTCCCGGCCTTAGACCTTCACATCGAGTTTCAAACCAACTTGACACCATCGATAGAGCCACAAAAACATCATCCCCAGGACAATAGAACTAGCAGAAAAAGCCTGAGCACCCAGATAATCTCCCCCACAAGCTTGAATAAGAGCACCCTGAATAGCCGGGGCCGTTAGACACGAGAAGCTAACTATCGTCAAAACCATGCCTGTCCTCGTGCCGACCTTGGTAATATCTTTCGTTTGCCGAGTCGCCAGCGCCGGGAGCAGGGCTTGTGTAGCCCCGGCAAAGATTCCGTATACAACTGCCCATGCATATAACCCCGGCAAATCATCAATAGCAACCCAGCAGTATACACAGATAGCACTAATGGCGGAGCAGAGGATGGTGATGTTGACAATACCCGTAAAGCGTTCGCCAATGAAACAGGGAGAACTCCGCCCGAGGACTCCGACGCCGTTTAAGACGATTAGGAGGTTAATTGACTCTTTGAGATGAATTTGCTCACGGGCAAATATCCCAAGGTAATAGAAAGCCATGTACAGACCCCAGAAATTAAGGAACATGCTAGCCGTGAAGAACACGAATGGCCACTCGCGGAATGCACTCCATTCGACGACGGGCCCTGTTGAGCGCGGTGGTAGGTACGGTCGATATCCTACCACGGATGGGATGTGCGTGACTAGCATTATTAATGCGAGAATGCGCATTGTCCAAGGAAAGCCAACATTTGAATGATTAAGCAGCGCGTTTGTTGTTGCTGGGTAGACCATCCCCCCTGTTGCGGCACCAGCTGCCGACAAGCCTACTGCAACAGAGCGGTACTTTTGGAAGTAGGAGCCCATGATTGAAAGGCCGGGTGTGAATACTAGACCACTACCTATCCCAACACATACAGCTTGGCTGAGTAGAATCTCATAGTATCGGGTAGACAAAGACGCCATACAAAGCCCAAAGACTTGCATGATAACCCCAGTCACGAAACAGTGTCGAAAGTAACCGGCATCAGATGCACGGCCTGAGAAGACGCCCCCAAAGAGCATTAGAAACATTTGAATGCCTCCTATCCATCCAATGTCACTTGCAGAATGCCCGAGTGTTTCGGTATAGTGCTGCTGGAACACGCCATAGCTGTTGGCAAGTCCCCAAGTATTGAAAAACACCATGTGACATAGGAAGACGTGCCACCAGGCCATGAAGCCGCCATCAGGAGCCTTGGATATGCCGGGAGGCCGCGAAATTGGGCTCGACTTGGGCTCTGCTCGCATGACTGAGACGGTATTGTTCTCGTAGATGATGAAAGCCAGTTGTGGTAGAGCGTCTGCTCTTCATTTAAGAGGTTGAAGCTCGGTAATTAGAACCAATCTGCTACCCTGATAAGGAAAGGCTGTGGAGTATGTACAAGTATAGTTCAGCCACAATCGTTGTGGTATCCGTTGAGATGAGATGTTTCGCGTGTTGTTCTATTGTCGTTCTCTATGCCCTCTCAATTCGGCTGTCATAATGCGTTCAACTCGGTCCGTATGACTTCTAGACTAGTACACGAACATAATAATTACATTTCAGGATAAATAGCACAGTTCAATGTAGAAATTTCAGCTTACCATTCTTGGGGTCACGAATTCGATGTCTAGCTCCGCAAATCCCGCCGTTCCCGTTTATCTCCCCGTGCCGCGGCTACTTGACAGACTTTAAGGCTCTAATCGGGGGCCCTTGGATAAATGTTCACGTAAAACACGGATATCCTCCGGTGGGCCATTGCGATTGAGTAATAACCGCTAGCAAGCTACCCCAGTTGCCTATTCTTTCCCTCTTGTCAATTCCCTTGTCGTCGGGTTCCGTTACATAAAGAAGAAGTATCTTCTTTCCTATAGCCGACCCCGAATGAGTATCATACTCCATTCCTTTATCTTGATCCAGAATGGGCAATGTCTAAATCAACCACCGCAGGGAACAGTAGGCTCATTAACACCTCGCAGTTCATTTTCATTTGTGGGCGCAATAAATATTAGAACAATATCTGATACACAAGAATGATCCAAGTAGGGTGAATAAAGAATGACGTAAAAGGCGCAGCAAGGTCATATCAAAGAACGCCTAGTATGCTGAGCTACTATCATTTAGTAACTAGAAGGATGGACCGGCTGAATGCCGATATTTTCTGTGGGTTGGATGGTCTGGCGCCGTCACATTAGCTTGGAGCCCGATGATAGTCACAAATGCAGGCAAAAAGAACAGATTTAGCAAACTAGATATTATGCTTGAACCGATACATTATACAGTCATATCTTCATCCGCACATGAGAGATCGGGAGAAGTATACACTTCCATTTACACAGCAGATAATTTCAGTAGCTATTTCATTCGAGTAGGCTAACCGGTGGGGTTATATTGGACTCATTGGACATAGGCTTAAAGATCTATCGCTTTCATCATCCTCTTGAGCCCCTCTTCAAGATATCCAACGGGATGTGAAAACACAATCCGAAAGAGCCCCTCCTTCTCGGATCCAAAGATCGTCCCATTCGCAATGAATACTTTCTCTTCCAGCAACCGCCTGCTAATCGTCGTGTTTAAGTCTCTTGACGTTGATACCTCCGGGTGTCTCTCGCAATATGCACTCCCCAAATCAACCCAGAGGAAGAACGCCGCATAGGCACCGGGGGTATATGAGATACCCTGTTGCCTCAGGAAGCGAACTGCAAAGCTAAAGGATTTAGACAGCTTTTTCCGGTTGCTTGCGATATACCTATCAGCCCAATCCACATTCTCGAGAATCTCGGCTGCAACGTGGTCCGAGATAGAGGACACATAAGAGTACAGCGCAACGGATTGTAGCGCTGTGGCCAGATTGCGATTGTGTTGAGAGATAAGGTACCCAACTCGGAGTCCATTGGCGCCAAAATCTTTACTCATACCCCACAAAACATGCACGAGCTTTGGGTCAATTAGCCCATCTGTTGGAACCGCCAGGGCCGAAACGAAAGGCACTGGAGGAGAGTCCCCGGTATCCTCTCTATTTTCCCATGTGGACAGAGCATATATCTCGTCACTAATGAAGTGCATCCGATAGCGTTGGCATAACTTCATCAACTCGTTAATTGTCTCCTTGGGATAGCAACGCCCTAAAGGATTATGCGGGTTACAAAGGATGAGTCCTCGCACAATGACACCGCGTTTCCTAGCGCTCAGGACTGCCTCTTCATAGCTCTTAACACAATCCGGGCTGAAGGGGTCAAGCCCACCAAAGCTCACTGTGACAACCTTGACCTCCGGTCGAAGAGAGATATCGGCGATGAATGACTTGTAATAGGGTCGTCCGAGAAGGATCCCGTCACCTCTGTTGCACAGCGCCCACGAGCAGTGCTCGATTGCGTGGGAAACACCGTTTGTCACCATTATGTGCTCAGCTTCGAGTGGTAACACTGGTCGTAGACGCTCGTTGAGGAACTGCGCAACAGCTCGTCTTAGTCGCTTGCTGCCGAAGTTCCCGTCCCCGTACGTGAAGGCATGTTGGCGTATATTCGTATTGCGTCTCACAAAATCTTGTAACTCACTGTGCATCAGGGTATTCTCTGCCACGCCGAGGTTGACAATTCCATTCGGATTGTCTTGCGGGTGCCATAGGTCTTTCAGTACTTCCCAGACAATGTTTGAATATGCCTGGCATTGGGCGTCGGCTCGGTTTGAGAGGGTGCTTGCTTCCGTCATGATAACTTTCTAAGCAACAATGATTATATCAGTTAAGCATATGAGATAGAACGTATTTCAATCTAGTTACAGCGGTGAATGAAGACAATTATATGTGCACCGGCGGGAGCATCGGGAACAGCGGGATTAGATCGTCTTCCCCGACAGGTACCCCAAGGTTTAAGCATCGCCCGAACTTCGCTCCATATACGTAGACCACTGGCACCCCTTAGAGACAGCACAGATATTATCTGCCAATTAGGCAATTCACTAAAGTTCGTTGTAAGTCACTATGGGGAAATTATACTTCGTATAACTCGTATATCTAACAATAGCCTCTATACTGCTACCTTCTGACCAGTCTGTAGAGTGAACATCTCAGGTTTGCAGTTTAATGTGTCTGTACTTCAACATCTCATTTGAGAGCTGGGTAGATAGATACTCCTTTGCTTTAGAAAGTATGTCTACTTTCTCCTTTATATTGCTCGGTACGTACTGAAAGTGACTCGAACCGCCGTGGCAAGGTGCTCCAAGTCGCAGTTCAAAGATCTACCCGTAAGTTCTACCCGATCTGGTTCACTAATTGAGATTTTTGTTTATGCTTACGCTAATGATTTATGCATTAATGGAATTTCATTTCAATATTACGGACAAGAAACCAAGGTACAGACCATGAGGTTATGTAGATAGTGAAGTGGATTCGAAGCCCGCTTTAGTGTTTGCTTTAAACAGAAGTCATTATCTGCAAAAGCAGTAAAATTATCTTTCCTCAAGTATCCTAGCCTGGAGAAGTGGTCTGATAAACAACGGCCGCTCTCCCCGCTTCAATCTCCAAGAATTAGTACTCTGTAATAACTCCTCACAGCCACCTAGTAGAAACCCCCACTTCTTTACAAACGCTGGTGTCATCTCCCAGTTCTCCGGCACCCAGGACGGACCCCAGACCAACAACATAGGGCTCGTGTTACGCGTATCCCAGAAAGCCATCAGATCATGGCACAACTCCTCGTCATCAATTTCATCCTGCACAGCGATAAGGTTATCCCGCAGATTAGGAAATGGGAAGAAATCCAGCCACGGATGATGGGGTATTCGCCGCTGAACAACTGTTGGCCGGAGACTTGCTGGAATATGGGCCTCAGAGATCCCTGGGGCCAGCATGTTAAAGATGGATACGGCGTCATCGTCATTCATCCACTCCATGGTCATGCCCATAGCGACTGTGTTATCAATGATAGCACGCTGGATGTTGTATTTTGGTAGACTCAGAAGGTGGTCCTGGTTCGGTGAGTTCTTTGAATAGCTTTCCAGGGCTAACTTTTCAAAATCGCGCATCAGTGAGTAGAGGTGCACTCCCAGTGTGCACTGAAACTCGTCCGAAGTTCTATCGTCATTGCCGTGGTCATAAGGGCGAGAGACGATAACTGCACCGCTATTTCCTTCCGGTGGTTGGTCAGCTTTGTGTCGTCGTAGCTGCCTTTGCCCTATGGTTTCCTTTTATGTAAGTCATTGCATCAATATACACCGTTCATTTGCTTAAGGAGTCGTAAGATGAGATGGAGATCAATGGGTCAGCTTACGATATGACCGTTGATTAATCCGGTTCTGCAATTTTCTTCGTTCTGTTCGATCAATGATGCCCGTCCAGTCATCTTGGGGACTCCAAACGCCAGCTTGTTGCGGCATCTGAGCCATGGGGATCATGGCGGTTCTTGGTGCCATTATGAGTCAGCTGTACGATGATTACAGGCAGGTTACTGCAAGATGCTTATGCTTTCTGTTTAAATTATTTTTCAGGGCTGACAAATATGACCACGCCGCCACAGGTAGTTGTGGTGGCAGTTGTTTCTGAAGCTTGGATCGATTCTATGTTTCAGTTTGTAGGTGGTATCGAACTAGCCTTATACGGATTAGCCGCATAAGCAACTTGCATTAGTGCCGGGAACTAACTGACTTTTATTTATCTAGTGTGAACCATTATTAGTCTAGGTCTAGAAGCACCACCAGATACATTAACACTTATACCCATCATCTATTTTCAAACTGAAAACACAAGCACTAATGGAAGTATTCTACAAAGAATAAAGACAGCTCAAGCATTTGCTCCACCATCCACTGCCCAAGTAGCCCCCATAACATACCTAGCTTCATCACTCAAAAAAAAAAAAAAACAACGCAACGACATCCGCAACCTGGGACGCCATACCAAATCTACCCAGCGACACATCTGGAGCAGTGCCCTTACCACCACCTTCCACATTCGTACGAAGCATAAGAGTATCAATAGGGCTATTAAAGACGTCACGTCAGGACCTAGAAACAGAACCATTCCACACCCACACAGAGAGAGAGAGAGAGAGCTTATGGCAACACAAGATTAACCCGAGTCCCCCTCCTACCGACCTCAACCGCAGCACTCTTGACCAAACCGAGACAGGCATGTTTACGAGGACTATAGATAGAACCCTTTGCCAAACCCCGTTCGGAATACATGCTTGCAGCATGGATGACACTACCCGGTGCATGTAATAACTCCGGTTTGAGTGCTTCGCTGAGAATATTGAAAATGCCTCTCACGTTGATGTCCATAACGAAGTTGTATTCCTTCTCGTCTATCTCGTGGATCTCTTGGCGACCCAGCCTATGGCCTGCTGTGCCTGCAAAGTTGGTTATTCCGTCGATTCGACCGAATTTCTCTTTCGTTAATTATAGGAATGAGGCGACGGCTGAGCGGTTCGTGATGTCTTGATGAAGGCATATTGCTTGCAGAGCTGTAGTAATTAATGACTATACACGTCTTGTTTCTTTTGGTTTTGTGTGCTCCATAAAGTACTAAGTCAATGCTACTAGTCGAGAGTATATATATGCTACCAACATGAATAGCCTAACCTTGTCCCCACATGGACCAATATTTCCATTTAAGCAGGTCACGGTAGTTCCACACTAGTATACCACACTCTATTGAACTAGAGTTGCATTGGGTAGGTCAGTAAAACATAAATAATAGCTCAGCCAATCAATTGTAGGGCGCTGAATACTTCATAAACGACCGCTAACTGGACATAGAAGACTGGCTGAGAATGTCAAGAATCCACTTCTCAGAAGGAGATAGAGGTGGTTTCCGTGGGGTAAGATTTATCACTTTGAATATGTGCCCTGCACAGCTGGCAGGTTGGGTCTGTTAGCTATGTAGCATCTCCAGTGGAAGGTAGCTGAAAATGTTACAGAGGTTTGGTTTGGCGAAGAACTGGCTGCCAATATCTGCGATTCGAATGACACTAGTTATCATTTAAACAGTCAGCTACCACACTAAAGCGTCCCTGTATATGATCGCTTGCTTGTAGTAGTATGGCCTGGAAATCGAAGGCTTCATCTACCTCATGCTAAGTACCACTTAACTGAAGCCCAAAGTTCTATAGAAAGCTTGTATGGTATTTATATAGACAGCATTCCAAATACAGATATCAATCAAAAACTACTTCCTCCACCCCCTCCGCAGCTGCTTCCTCCCCCACCACAGCTACTGCTACTGCCTCCTCCTCCACAACTACTAGATCCACCACCACCACCACCACCTCCTCCAGAAGAATAAGAAGAAGAAAAAGTGGATCCACAAACATAGGATGGCGCCGTCGAAGTGCCACACCCCGATCCACAATTCACAGCAGCCGCCGCCGCCGCCGCCTCTACATGCCCAGCATTCTGTATACAGCCCAGCTGCGAATCAGCGATAAGAGTGGCTGCAATACTAGCATTAGCCTGCGCCTCAAATTGGGCGTCAGTTTCTATCTGCTCCTGATTGCTACAATCTGCATAATCGGGTGCACTATGGTCAAGTCCTCGGAACCAGTCGAATGATTGATTGAAGTCCATAGGCTTCCTGCCGGTATCATTGAATCTGCCCCTGCCTATACGGACATCCTGTCGTTTTGCACGGCCATCTCGGAGAGTCTCATAATCGGTTATCTTATCCTCACGCTTTTTTAAAGCCCATTCGGCTAAGAAGTAGTGACTGTATGTCCCTGCCTCGAAGTAGTGGCTGAATGGTTGTGCACGGTGGATACCTCCTAGTTTGACCCGGGCGAGAGAAGGATCGATGCGGCGTAGTCCCTTGTCCTTAGAGTGGAGCCAGGCTGTTGCTTTGCAAAATGTGGGCGATTTAGCCATTGCCGTTGCGGCACGAGCGAGGATAGACGATGCTGTGAGAATGGTAAGACGGTCTCGTAACCAGGGATTTGTGGTTCTGGTATCTGCATCCTGTTTAGGTTGATACATGTATCTATCACGGTAGAGGTGAAGCGCGATAATAGACCATGAATCGAAAGGAAAGGCCCAGACGTGTTTCGATAGGTTGCAATCTCCACATTTAGTCGGATATTTCCTGTATGCTTCGGTGCAATCCCATGGAAAGAGGTCCTGGTAGTTATATAAGGTAGAATCGAACGCTCCCCAGTCGTACCAGTATTCCTGAAGGGTGTCAATCAAGTCTGCCTCGTCATGGCGGCCATAGTGGAATCGAAGAAGGTATTCCTCGGTTAATCCAATGGGGACGTCGAATTTACTGATGATCTTGTTGTTCAGGTAACCTTCGGGCGGGCAAACGAAGCTCATTAGATAGAGCGGAGAAGATATCTCGCTGGATTGCATATGCGGACCATTTGCCAGTGGCTCGAAGAGGTCTGTGTCGATCAAAGAGTTGCAGAAGTTCTGGCAATTGTTGCTTGTCGCACTCCATGTGAGTATATTTTCGGTGTCGAGAAGACGCCGGGCAATGCTGGTGAGGTATAACTTCACTCTTGTGTTGAGCAGATCCTTTAGCTTTTCCAGGACAGAGCTTAATGCGACATCGAGAATTTTTTGCTGTTCCATTATGGGCAAGCCAGGATTATCAAACGGCTGCTTACTGGCGGCCACGAGGCGTTCTATTATCTCTTTCTCTTGTTCGCTCTCCGGTTTCTGGGAAAGAACACCTGTAAAGGGAGCCCCGACAATCTGTTTCATTAAAGCTTTGTATCTCTTTGGCTGGCCTAGCTGCCGCTGTTGCTGCCATAAATGTCTTTCCGGGTCTCCTCCGACTGCTAGGCTGCGTTGATGCGTCCCATGTGCAAAGCGCTCGTGAAATACGGGTGTTTCCCTCACGGTGATAAGAGCACCTGCTTTTGTGCTGACCATAACTAATCAGATCCTGTCTTTCCCTTTGGAAGAACACCTTTTCGGGCAAGATATACTTACTGGGAAACACCGTTCTCAATTACCAATGGACCTACACGCAAAGCCATATGCACGTTTCCAAAAGGATATTTCTCAGTGAACTGACGAAAGAAAAGCGGGATATCTTCATCCGCCTCTGACTCCATCGCTGCGCTCGTGGTACTCGACACAGTATGACGGTGGTCTCCCTGGCGGGTATTTTCCGTCACGGAACGAAAGGTTGGTTGCTTTTTTTTGTCATATGTTTGCGGCGTTAAATTGTAAGCTCGTCCATGCGGTGGTTCTGTGCGTTGAGTATTCGGCCTGCCCCGAGAGCGGTCAACTATTCTCGAGATCCACGAGGCATCAGACAATCGCCTTTCCCTCTTCCGTTTCACCTTCGCGGTGCGCAGAAGCCCCTGATACTTTGCATATGTAACCAATTCAGAGAGTTTCAGTATCGTGCACCGGTGGCTGGATATGTAGGAAACGTGTCTATCTTCCTCATTCAGTGGGAACAGGCTGCGTGGACACCCCTGTGGATCATAGTGAGATACATCCTTGCATTCGCACATCTTCCTGCTCATGCTAGGCTGAATAGAATCAGATAGTACACAATGTTTGTATCTCTTGGATATTGACTTATCTCCATAATAGTAAGACCGATAACAGTCCTCGCATATGGTGTGAGAGGCTTTTTGTGGTGCTTCGGATTGTTCCTGTTTGGTGAACATGCTTCCACGAATGATGGCCCTGCATTCAGCACATTGCATTGGGGCAAACTGAGGGACCCATTGGTCATCGAAGTTGGAGAGCTTAACTATGTTTCATGAGTTTATCACAACTATACACATTTAGAGAAATATATTGACATACGCTGTGGGATCGCTGGTCGTTTCCAAAAGCTTAACTTATCCAGCGGTGGGCGATGCTCGATCAGCTTGTCAATGTCAAGGAAACCTAGCATGATTTAGTTAGCTTGATAATGGTTAAATGCCACTATTCCCGTACTTACCAGCATTCTGGAGCAACATCCATGCTCGCAATTCAACACCAGACAGTCTTGGAATGGCTTCACAAGAAATACGGTATTAGCAGCGATTCAGCCAAAGCATGACAAGGAAAGCTCACTGTCCAATTGTTCTCGAACTTCCTCTTTAATCTTCTTACTAAAATACTCCGCGCGAGTATCAAGGATGACTCTCTTCAGCGCCTCCTTGTACGAAAGGTTACGCGACAATATCGCCTGTGCCGGTTTCTCGTTGACCATCTCTTGTAGCTTTGTCTCCCCTATATGGCATTAATCACCATCTATATCACACGTATCATGTACCTGTCCTAGGGCCTGGTGGGGTGAAACTAACCATAGCGAATAGCGAACGCTCTCGCCTCCTGACAAACCTGGTCCAGGAACGTGTCAAATCCATGGATATTGTTATCATTCTCATCGCTGATACTAATATCCGCGTACTCTGGCTGTTGCCAAATCTTTAGTGTACGGATGATATTCTCCAGTTCATTCTCGACTCCAGTCCAATAGAGCGCTTCAAGCTCTTGAAGGAGATGGGCTTTCCCCGGTCCAATCAGCTCCCATGATGTATCCGGTGCCTGTGTGATATTTGGTTGCGACGACCGATGGAAGCTATCAAAAGCCTTTAGTCGAGCCATACTAATGATTCATCTGGTAACTAGTCTAACAATAGCAACTTAGTATTCAGGTCTGAATAAATAAATATATATTTCGTTACGATATAGATCAGAGGGCGTTCCCTAGATAGCCGAATGTCACGAGCTCGTCGTACTAGTGAGGCTTAACAGTAGAACAGCCATGCAAGATAGCGCCAATAGATCAGCATTCTGCCTTCGCGTAATCTGGCCCATTTGCGGTTAGCACATTTTGTAGAATACGAGCTGCAGCCACGGGCAACTAGCGAGGCCGGGGCGTGGTTACGCCAAGGAAACGGGTTTCTCGATAGTTCTCGTGTACCTGCATTTCATTGTATTGCATCAGTCGATGATTTCTGCCTTGCGGTCGTGGTTCTTCAAATTAAAAGTGAGGCTGCGAGGTGAGTCATTTATGTCATTAGTTTAGGTTGACGGTACGGAGTAGTTACTATGCACTGTTGCCTACAGAAGTTCTCTGCCGCGGCATCCGTGCTTAAGCCACGTGCTGCCCCTTCGGACTTGCAATAGCCCTACTATAGTAGTAGGAATTGGATGCAGGGTAGTAGTGTTGTTGTGCAGCTGTGCCACTGTGCCTAATTTTTCTACCATAAAATATGCAAATCATTACTATTATACATCTAGAGTCATCCTAGTATGATCTTAACCCCAGTGTCCGTCCAATTACAGTACAGGCGTGCGCCCTAGCTATTGCTCCCCAAGCTCCACGGGGGATGAACATGATGACTGCACTCCTCTCCACAAGAACAAATCCACCATCGTGGACCCGACGGTGGCAACTGCTTCTTGCAGTCTGCACAACACATAGATTCCTTAGAGAATTTATGCATCTCCGCTTGAGCCTGTAGTTCCACCATCCGGAGTTTTTCCGAGCCGGTCATTGACGCGCAGTCCCGGCAGACGTTTCTATGTTGAAAGCTAGGCCCCGCTCTTTCGGCAGCCGCCATATTGCATGCCTGAGACCCTATGAGATAATAGGTTTTGTAGAAGCAATCAGAGCAGTTTGGCTTGCAGAATTCTAGATGCGAAAGTATTGCTGGGTGTGGAACAGGAACGGATATCTGGCATGTCTAGTATCTTCGTTAATAACCCATTGTACGTGCGAAGTAGCTGGATACGATTATACCTCGCATATTTGCGCCCTGCAGAGTCTGCATTCTTGTTTGGTCTCTGATAAACAGGTATACATTCGAAGCTCCTCAAGCTTCGACTCGTCATCTTCAGCCCCGATATAAGCGAGGAATAGCTTATCGTAGGCTGTGTGTAAATTGACTATATCCACATAATGAGCATATGAAGCAATCTTGAGAAGCACGTTCGAAGGCAGGACACGTGTCGGCAAGCTAGTAGACCTTTTATGACGACGGAGGCCAGTAAAGATTTTCGAGCGCCGATTAATCCCGTCACCCTGCCGCGTCATGACGTGCGTTGGTGGCTTTCGAGTTCGCGGTTTCAGTCGCCGAAACACTTTTGCTATGTACTTGAGAGCGAAATAAATTGCCGCTTGTATTCTGAGAGCTCTACTAGTCTTAGAAGACCACCGACGACGTGGACGGGGATGCAAGATTTCTCGAACGCCCTGAAAGATCATGAGTGAGGCATAGGGAATGTAAAGAATCCTGCGTCCGGTTAGCTTCTGCCTATAGAACGGAGAAATATGCATCGGCCTTACACAACGGCAACTGCGAATGCCCAATGCTCAACCATCCTCTTGCAGGCAGAATGCAGCGAGGCTTCGCTGCCTGTAGAAGAGTCCCTCATGTCCATTGGCAAGGCCTCACGCCAACTTGACGCTAAGCTATTGCAACCCCCAAAGGAGCTTGGGAGGACTTTTGACTGCATCGCTACCCCGGCCAAAATAATAGCGGCCAGGGATAGTTTCAGCATCCCCATGGCTGCAATATAAAATCCTCTTGCCCCGAGAAGGAAGAATATAATGAATGCCAGAACTACTAGAACCCAGGCCTAGTAACGAAGGAATATCATTAGCGCTAATACCTCCGCGAACTTGGAATCAGTGATACATACTACGGCCCTGACCAATTCGAGACCGTGGAGAAGGGAGAGGCCATGGTCAATTCTATGCAGCAAGAATTTAACTTCTCGATGAGATGGTAGGGTCAGGGTTTGAACGATGGCAAATGCAAACATAGGAACAAATAGGGCGTAAACATAGCAAACCAGTACTCTAGCCGGGCCTGATTTCTCAAGCTGTCGGTTTTCATGACTTGAACCCATTGTGATAGTTCATGATGTAATAGTTATCTCGGAAAATTGGCGTGATGTACTGGAGCTTTAATAAAATTAGACTGGGGCGAGGTACTGCTAATGCAGATTGCCAAGGAGTGGCTCTCTGTCACGCGAAGGTGTCGTGCAGCCTTGCCGGACCTCTGCAATCGCCTCGTATTCGGGGAGATTGCGGCTAAGCAACGCCTTACCCACTGAGGCTGAGACCCCTTGGCGGTAAATTATGGTGAAGGTGGTATGCGCCTCGAGAGTTTAGTGCGCCTAGTTCTTGATCTTATATACACTATCTTCTCTTTAATTTACTAGCAATCCATCCTTTGATCAACACTAAACATGGCTCTCGTCGCGTTGAACGTCGCGTCTCTTCATCGCGCAAGCGGCGCTGAAATCAACAATGCCAAAGTTTCAAATACCACATATCATTATGACAAAGCTCTGAACAAGTCAGAGGAGCCTCTAATACCAGATCCACAACTCTTCCAACCTTCGTCACACACGGCCAATACTAGTAACCGGCGTGATCTCCCCACCATTGGCGAATGTGCCGTCCACCTCGAGCTGCTGGAAGTGTTCCATACTCTACGAGACAGGGTCCAGCAATCAACAGATCTGGATAATACCTTCGGCATCACACCTAATAGAAGAACAGTTTACCGCAAGCGGTATTCTTCAAAACTACGTAAATATGAGTCCTATACAGTCACGGTGAAGGACACCCAGTTTGAAACGAGGAGAAAGGACAAATGGCATTATTTTCTGGAGCTCGCAGTCGGCCGATTCAGCAGATGGATCCGGACCGTTAATAGGGTGGCTTTCTCTGGTACTAATTCACAAAATGAGAGCGAGCCATCAGGGCTGCGTCTATTGCCCCCTGTCGGTAAGTGTACTTTTTCTCTCCTGTATGTCCGTTGAATGCGTCAGAGGAACATTACTTAGGTGCTACACAGACGTGCTTATGGTGTGGCATGCCTTCTTGCTGAATCCCGATGACTTCGACTTCTACTGTGTCAAACATAGGTTGGAGCGGATGCGCAAAGCTCCCCTTCCATGGCAGCGAATCGTACGTTTTCACTCGCTAACCATAGACCGACCTACCGAGTACATCCTAACTAAAGTCAAACAGCACGAGGCAATAAACGCACGAGACTGGTCATACCGTCTCCCCGAGACCCACAAGCAGTGGCTAGAAAAAAAGGCAGAGTTTAAACCCGACCTCTTCGAGACGCTCGTTGAACTCGGCAAACGCGAAAGTCACGCTAAGCATGTCCTGTCTCAGTACGGGTCTGGTTCAAAGACGAGTTCATTCTCGTTATTGAAATATGTAGACACTCCGGCTAATTATGCTTTCGTTGAGATGGTTCAAGCCACGAGAGCCGAGGCTCTCAGGAACAGGTCCTTGAAGGCAAATGTCGAACGACAGTTCAAGTTTGTAGAGAAGATGCACGATCATCTCTGGATCCGCAGCCCGGCAGTTGATGGGACGCTTCGTCGCGCCATTGACCGCTACGAGAAATTCCTGCAATTGTTTCGTGATTACCCAAGGACGACTCTAGTGCCGACGCTGGACGTTGATCTGGCTTGGCATACTCATCTGTGCAATCCGGAGCAGTACCGAACGAGTTCGGTTGAACGTGCTGGATTGATGGTCAATCATGATGACAAGTTGGGGAAGTCGTTCTTGCATACTCGGTTTGATAAGACGCATGAATTGTTTCAGATTGCCTTTGGGCAGCAATATCAGGTCTGTCTGTGTTGGGATTGTGAGGCCGTTTCATCTGCGATGGAAGCTTTTGTGGCAAATGATGACATGGATATTCTAGATGATGTTGGTTGCGATGCGGACAGCATCGTGAAGAAGGTGGAAGATGATGTGCGTTATTACAGGGCGGTTGAGATCGCGAGACTGAAGGGAATAGCTCTTCCGGTACGGTGATCTTTGTAACCATCATAATGCCTATTGGTAGTAGTAGTAGTACATAAAACTAGCTAAGTGTGAAGTACGTCTCTTTCACAAGTTGGCCAGACTATTGAGACTTGGCATCATACCAACTAGTTCTCTCATTAAGCTCGCCTTTAGTAATCAATTCCACTCTCTCCCCATAGCATACCCGTCGATGCACTGCAACTCGGCAGAATAAAAGTCTGTCGAAGTCGGCCCGGGGTACTTCGACGGCACGTAACCGAAGAGAACTCTCCTTCAGGCTAGTCTTCAATCGTAAAAGAAGGACGATTCGAGGGCCAACATGTGAGTAACATGAAGGTAGAACAGACCAATCCTTTCCTTTCGAGAAACGTTCGCTATCATCGGTAAGCAACGAATCTACTGTAGTACTCGACGGCTCAGATCTAGGTAGGGCCGGCTGTTGGTTATACATTGAATGGATCAGATCCACCAGGCATTGCTTGTATGACCCGTCTGCCCGAGTAACAGGGTCGAATTCGTTAATAATATTCAGGCACACTCCGCTGGAATTTCCAATGACGGGGCTTCCCAAAAGAGGGACTGTCACCACTGGAGGTGCCCCAAATGTTATACACGAGAATCGGGTCTCTAGGTCTAACGCTTTATGTCAGTATATCGACTTCCAGGCTGATGCAGGTAAGAGCGTCTCTTACAAGGGCTTTCCTGCGCCAGATACCGAAGGAACAAAAGCGAGGCAACCGCACCACCTGCCGAGTGGCCAGTGAACAGGACGTGGCTGTAGTTACTTGCATTCTCACGGATATACATTTTTATCCTCTGTGACACGGTTTTGTCTAGAGCCTTTGCGCTATTCAGAAACCCAGAATGCGCCTGAAGAGTAGTGCTCTTCTCTGGCGCAAGCCGAGATACATCCTGTGTCATTTGTTCGTTAGCAACATAGCGACTTGAGACATGCATACGCTACTGAGCAAGACTCACAATAAAGTCATCTGCATTGCGCGGCTCATAGTTAGCATTTACCATATGGTCAACCGCACTGGCGCTCCCTCGAATGGCAACTACTAGTACCGGGAGATCCGTGTTTTCAGTTCCCTCCTCAACTGTCGACACATGGTTGAAGGAAACAGCTTTGACCGTTCCACCAGTTGATGGAACAACACAGTCGCCTGGTACGAGTATCCATTTCCCTTTGCGAACAGGGCCAGTAGGTAGACCCGAGGAGGTTTCATATACCTCTCGGGCACAGTGCCACGCAACAGAGATCAATTCAGCTTTTTCCGGAGAGCTGAGAGATACGGATTAATAAGGGACATTCCCATAATCAAAAAAAAAAAAAAAAGTCATTCGACATACCATTCCCAGTCAGAATATTGCTCATCTTTCAGCTGAGAGTTCCCATATTGAGAAGCCTCTTGATCGAGTCGCTCCAACAATCCATTAATCTGGCTATTCAAATCCCCTATTCACAATAAACAACGGGTATATTTTATTCTAATTCAACGATGTCTCACCATCAAGATCAATCTGATCAAAAACAGTGCCAAGAGCATCCGATAAATCTGCCACAGCGGCCGAAGCCCCCTGGGAATTGTTAATGAATGGGGAGCCTGATGCGGGGGCAACAGTGGACGCTCTCACTGCCGACGCAGTGGGTCGGGGGTGGCGCTGGGACATTTTTAGGAGACCTCTCAGAGAAACCATGTTTGTGGGTGAGGAATGGGTCCGTAAACGTTAAGCGTCTTTTGAGTGTGCGGGCCCGGTTATCTTATACGGGGCCTGAGGCTGTGCTCCTGCATTAGATGCTGGGCATTCAGGGCAGCCAGTCACGTCGATGCTCTCTACTACGTAGTATTGAAAATTATCACTTGCTTATTCCTTATTTTTCATAGTTATTCTTTGTAATATGCAGCAACAGGGTGTACAGATATTCTGTGATGAGCTGAGAGTATAACATTTGCCGAGTTACTCCGGAGTATTGCCGTCCATAGTGGATCCCTAGGAATTTTTGTTGCCCTGCGCACAGACTCAAAAAGGAAATCTATGCAGTGGCGGAGAGGAATGCCATACTGAACATTGTAAGAGTCCCCTTACAACACAACAGTGGTATGGGATGGATCCTTGCATGTAGGTCAAGTATGTCAGTAAGGAGTCTTTACAAGGATCAGCCCCTAGTCCAGCCATTCCATACCTCGTGGCTCGAAAGCAATGAACGAAGGGTATGAGTAACAGCGTAAGGTGAAAGATCATATCCTTTCGTTTGAGGAGTTATTCCAGGCACAGACAAGAAAGGGACAGGTAATCTCCCAAGGCCAGAGGAGACCCTATAACTTCAACAGGTAGCTGCCAAAGTCAATCCGGCATTCCAGTTGAAACATAAGTCTGACGTAAATTCATCCGGTTATTCATGACAGCCTCAGCTGTCCAGTTCAATCCCAGCGCCAAGCAAAAGCATGCAAATTTGAACCAAGCTAGGGGGTTACAGGCCATTCAATGAATACAACATGGCGATCAAAACCTCTCGCAGGCCATCGGTCTATTCTGCGGCATTTTTCGGCGACCGGAGTTCAGAGACCCGCTTTTTAAACGATTGATTAGATCCGCCCCTGACTCACGATCTACTTTACTGTTCCAACTCTTGTCGCAACGTCCACTCTTTAATCTTCCCCCCCCCTTCCAATTCTCCCATTGAACCAGACTCCCGTTTCTGGATGCTTTCCCCATTGAAGTGATTCCCACTCATACTCTTCATGTTTCTGCGATTCAGCGAAAACCCACAGCGATCTTCCTTCCCCCCCAAAATTCCCCACCATGGAGTTCGGAGCAAAGTTAAACACGGATGTTCTTCACAGTCCCGAAAAATTCATTCAGCCGGGTAAGCCCGAGGTAAGACCAATCAATCTCTACCTAACCCGGCTCAATACTGACACCTACCAGGACATAACAAAATGTAAAGACCACCGCCAAATTTCCGTCTCCGCAAAAGAGAACATCAGTCTTCTCTGTGTCAACTCAAACAGAAAGTTGACCCACTACGGCTTCTACGCCCGCATTCTCTCGATCATCGATGACTCGAATATCCCCGTCGAGCTTTTACTAACCAGCGACAATTGTGTGACCATCGCGATTGACTCGAACGCTGTTAGTGAGGAGGCTCTACGGACCGCCCAGAATGAGATGCTGGCGTATAGCCGTCCCGTGTTGGCTGGGGATATGGTTATGCTGTCCGTGAAAATCGCGTCGAAACATTACTGTAATGAGGTTTTGTCTTCGACTTTTTCCATTTTGAGTGCTTGTTGCATTCCTGTGCATATGATTTCCCTTGGTATGTTCTTACTTCTTTCCTTTTTTTTTTTTCTTCTGTGTTTTCAGGTACTATATGTTCTGGTTTATGTGGGTCTGACTGTTTATTAGCTGCTGATGAGCCCATCGTCTACTGTGTCATCAGTAAATCGGACGTGTCGCGGGCCCAGAAGACGCTCTATTCTAATTTGCATCAGCACTATGCCTGGTGGAACTGATGCCGGAATGGAGGCTTCCTTCATTGAGCTGATGTGGCAGCGCAGCTCTACTATGGCGGTGGTGATTACTCACGAACTGGGACAATCCAGTGAAGAGAAAACCCCCCGCCAAATTATCATTGATACAACACATAGACTCAACGATAATGCATATCCGATCGATCATTCATCAATGAGGTCGGGTCGGATTCAACTTCTCATGCCTATTCATCATAGTGCACCATAGCTAGGTACTGGCAATTGGAAGTATTGCTGTCCTACATTCATTTGTCCTTAGATAAACAACTAGCAATTCATTCCTTCGATATTAGAAATTATGGACACATACAAGTCCAACTAGTATAACATGGTTATTCCAGTTTCTCCTCCTTCACCCATAGCACAGTAGGCAGCATAAGTAATGCACATGCGGCAGAGATTACTATAGAAATTAGCTTTCTACACATTTCGCAAGGTTATCGTACTCACATGGCACCAATTGGAATGCGTTCAAATAGCTCCACCGAACAATATACTGAACTGCAGATGGCAAGCTCCGAGAAAATCTGTCATCGTTGAGAATTTGACCGATAAACTGGTCACGACGATAAGCATGGAACTCATACCGGTCACGGATGGTGTATGAACAAACCTTTTTCTCCTCCCACCCATTTAGATTATTCTCCAACTTCCCGATAAACACACGTTGCACAACGGCCACATTCGCCGCCGGTCCAATGATACTACCCAACTGCTGGGTAAGGTAATATGTAGTGATGCAAGTGGTGAGGCTCTCGTTCGGCACGCCCAGCGACATGCCAAGGAACTGTGTCGTGAAAAGGATGCCAACAGCTACACCATTCGGCAACAAATACACTACTTCCCAAAGGTAGCAGCCACTTCGCCAGCGAATGAAAATGAGCAAGTAGGTCATGATGGTACCACAGACAGCGATGACAGTCATGGTTCGGTATCGTTTCGATCTGTGAATAGTCAGATAACCTCACGTATCCACCTAATATTGTTTCACGGGGCAGCGTCGCTACCTTTTAATAACCTTTCCTGCGATCAATGCTCCAATCGACACCCCAACTGCAGCCAACACGAAGGCTGACGCAGCCAATGAGCTTGTTGCACCCTTAACCCGAATCAGGTATGGCGCCAAGTTACTCATAAGCTACAATGAAGGTCAGGAATCACAGAGAATCATGCATCCAAGGGAAATAGAACCTACTCCCGAACGGCCCGACATCAACATTATCTGGTTTAGGCAAAACCCACCCAGCGAGGTCTTCATGAGGTGTAGAGGAATCAGTGGAGTTCGAGCCCAGTATGCTTCTATCACGAGGAACAACATTGCTGCAGTGCAAAAGGCCGGGACGAGGATCGAGAGCGGGATTTGGAAGCTATCTGGCGGGGCGCCCAACTCCTGCATCAAGAAGAGTAGAAGAATAGTGGTGATAGACAAGCTCACAAGACCGGCAAAGTCAAGTCCCGCGATGCTGCGCCGAGCATTCCCTTCATCTGCATCTCCAGTCTTGGTTGGGTTTAATGATGACGGAAGCCCATATAGCCCAATTAGTAGACAGATGATCGCCACGGGCAATTGACCGATGAATGACCATCTCCATCCCACATAACTGATAAGATAGCCTCCCAATGGAGCACCTACACTACGACCTACAACATTAAACACATTGGCGTAGCTTCGGAGCAGGGCTACCTCGTCGGCAGGGACCATGTCTATAGGATTAAAAGTGTCAGAGTGGCAAGAGAAGGTGATCGAGATACTCACCAGTAAGGATGACCGATACCAGTGAAACTATTCCTCCTGCACTTACTCCAGTGAGCACTCGTGCCAACACCAGCTGACCGATGGACGTGCTGGTCCCGCTACATCAAAATCGGTCGTTAGAAGCCATTCGCATAGACAAAACCGTACGTGAGATGACCTACCAAGCCAGACATCCCGCTGCAAAAAGTGCATAAGCACTTATAAGAACATTCTTTCGGCCGTATAGATTGCATAGCGTACCATACTAGTCCGCGAAAATATCAGTTTCACACCCTTCTTAGAGTGAGTCGTCGAACTAACCACCGGCAGTGACACGCACCACCCAAAGCTATACGCAGCTAACAGCCACGATCCCTGCGACAGAGAGTGAAATTCCGAGGCGATCACACTCCATGTGGACAAAACGATGGCTTCGTCTGCAGATGCGAGGAATACACCTGAGTAGTAACATCAGTAAGAGAGCTGTGTCTGGATAGATTGCACATCTTTACTCACCGAGAAATGAACCGTACACGGCGAGTTTGTCGCGTACACGACCGACCTTGGTATTCTGCTTGTCCTTGGGGCGGGCATGCAGCAAGGGGGTTTCTTCACGGACGGTCATTGCCAGATTTGTACCAACACAGCGCACGAATGACCGCCGAGGAAGATATCGCACAAAAAAAGAAAAGAAAAAAGGAAAAAAAAAGAATATATATTGATTGAAATAAACTCGGGACGAACAGCAGGACAGATGGTTTTAAATATCGAGCATGTGGGTGTCAAGGGCTGAAGCCTGAAGGGGGAAGCTGAAAGATCACCGCCTCTCATGCCCAAAAGCGATCTCCAGGGTTGGATGTCTCAACTCCCAAAGTTCAAGAATTGTCATCCTGTCTAGCCATGACGTTACTTCACTCTTGTCATTCTTTCGTTCTGTCTCTCTATGTCCAGGTTGACCTCGGACCCCAATAAAATACAATTGGGTAGTTCCCGGCGTTGAAGGGAATCATCATGATGACTGCGAGAGGCGCTATATAATATATCAGTTGGGGTGTTTTGTGGATACTAGTATTTAAATTTCCCGTGATTTCCCCACCCCTGTGGTTGGTTTAATTCAAAATCCTTCACACAAACATCCAATGGTAATTGATTGCAACAGCGTGACAAACTAAATTGTATGAACTATTGACGACCATCCCTTTTTTTTTTTTTTTTTTTTTTTTTTTTTTTTTTTTTTTTTTTTTTTTTTCTCCGAAGTTTTTTTTTTTTTTTTTTATCATTTTTTTTTTTTTTTTTTACTTTTTGAAAGGTGTTATAAATCAAACTCTGTACTCTCTCGAGTCTAAGCCTTAGCACTAAATACTATAGTTATTCAATCCATTGCCGAACAAATGCAGGGATCTACGAACGTGTTGCCGCTAGTCTCCAATATTTTCATCTACGCATAAGCAAATGCAGGCATAAAGAGATGGAAGAAATAGGGATTCATCTCAAATTGCCAGGACTCCAACAGACACTTGTTTAAATATCCATGCTGTAACACCTCATAACTAAAACTCCAGATCCCCTAGTAAATCATGCCAGTCCAGCACCGCGCTCTATGATAGCATCCCTCAGAGCGGTGCTGTCAAGACCCAAGTCTGGGCACACCAGGCCACAGTGAACCCACTTCAGTCCGAAAGGACTTGTTCTATTCTCCTTGGCTCTTCGAAGTCTGATCAATCAAGAATTATGCCGTTAAAAATCTTGCCCATATGTGTTTTGTCAATCCCTTCGCTTTTCCGTCGAATTTGCGACGTAAGGAAATTTAAGAACTTTATCGGACTTTGCCGGAACGTTGATGCTAAGCGTTCTGTCCTGTTGTTCTTATCCCGGTGCAGAATGAAACTGTCTGTGGCGGCAAGGCTGTCCTCACCCATTGGCTCTCATGCCACACCCAGAAAATCGCAGACTTCCACATATTCCCCATACGAAGTCAGGTGCAACTGCCCAGCAAATAGATTCAGCTCTATAATGAAGCCCCGAGGTATACATAGAGCATTGGTGACCTCGCCGGAGACATTGTAGAGGTCTAACTTGTCCAATGGTTTAAGTCCTAAATTGGACCGGGGCGCGTAGAGATGCAATGCCATATGTTTGGACTCCTTGATAGAGGGATACAATCCTGCACTTCGTAAGGGCTGATGATGACCATTTGGTTGGCAGTCGATTTCTGGTCGGTGGAGTTACTCCCTTGGCGAGTTGCCAGAATCCATTGCACCAGTCTTTGGAAGACATCAGGCGAAAAGTACAAGACATCGATAGGCTCCACGATTTGCGCATAATCGCGGGTTACAAGCAATTTCCCCGGGAATTGACGAACGCTAGGATGCCAGACAGTGCTCATTTTGCCAGGTGATTAAAAGGCCGGCAGAAAAGCCGTGGAGCCTTCAGCAATTAATTACTCCGGGGGATACGGACTTCGTCATATCTCCGCGAATTCTGTGCTTTTTCGGCCTAGCCTTTGGGGGTCGTTGAACCTGTCGTTCCCTTTCTGCTTCCGCGGCAACTTCCCGCTCGTGGTCTTCATCTATTTTCGCCGAGTGGTAAGGCATGCTTCCGAATTCCCAACAACGGGTCGCAATTAGAGATGCAGCTTGGCTTTGGTCGCTGTGTGCGAAATTTGCCAGCTCATCTTGATTCACACGGGGTCTATACCTTTGTTCCAAAGATAGGGCTTCATCTTCAAGAAATTTCCGTGCGTGACTAGAAGAAAAAGAAAAGATCGCCTTGCGCACGCATCTCATTCCGCAACGGTTCATGGCGCAGAAACCGTAGGCCTTGTGTGGCCCATAGAGTGATGTTCCCTTTCATGTCCTGCCAGGTTTCGGCCATGGCCCAACAAAGGACATCGGGTACCTCTACGCTTCCGTTATCGGAGGCACGCGTCGAAATCTTGTGATGGATTTCGTCTGGGACACAGAAAACAACTGACTGACCTTGGCCTAGCCTTCGCGTCCTTATACAAGCTAGATAAGCATTAGTGGTGAAGTTATTCAATACATTGCACAGGCCTCATTTTGAACTAATCTGTCCTTGGTCAGATTTGCCCCTAATGTAACAGCTGCCCTATAATGCTCGGGCAGCTTGAGATCAATGCCTCGTGTGTGTGCTTCAGCCAGGAATACATAACACACGTCGAGCTGCTTAACAAAAGGAGATGTTTGCAGGGACTCAATTGGTCCTTTGCGATCCATCACACATAGCTCATCGTTGTCATCACAGAGGATTACAGCCTGTGGCATATCACTGTTGGATGTTAACCTCAGCCATTCATTTGCCACCTCCGCATTGGTCAATTCCAGCACTTGAGCCCCGACATCAGGGATGACATGTGCAGGCGGGTCCATTTACATGACCAAGGACAGCAATCCCTCGGCATCTGATCGGTGTTCCTTGTGTCTCCATGGAGTACATATAACCGAATCTTCCGGCTGTAATAAGTATCCAAGAACCAGAGCATTTGTGTGCATCTGTGGAGGGAGGCTCAGCTGTTCTACACTATGTGGAAGAACCTCACGGAAGGCATTTGGGCCACTGAACCCAGTCAGAGGGTGGCATTTGACCTCACCAATGACCCAGCCTGATGCGGACAACTTATATGGAAACCCCCTCATTTTCCTAGGAAATACAACGTGAAAGAGGAAGTAGTCCACGGCACCTTTTGCAAACCGAAACGAGGGAAAAATTTTCTCGGTGCATAGACGGCGATCTTCTAAATTGATGCTAACAACCTGCTGAAATTTCTTCGACAATTGATAAGCATCCTTTACCCCACAGCTGATATTCAACGTCTGCCTGGTCGACATTAAGCAGGTGACTGAACGCATTGAAAAGTTTCTCGTCACTTAGACCTCCATAGTACCCACTCAGGCAGGTCAGTACAATGACTGCATCCGGGTGGCTATATTCAGAACGTGCAGTAGGGCTGTCCTTAGCGCGATATGGAACAGTAAGCGTTGTAGGTGGCTCTCTAGTTGAAGTGAGGCCATAATTAACACACCAGCTCTTGAGTTCGAAGGCAAAGACCGATATACCCGCCGCAAAAAGACCCCCTAGCAGAAACAAGACGTCGCGTGTACGAGGTCCCCATAATTCCTCTAGGCCTTTTAGATTTAGTCAACAGTTAATGTTAATTTGGTTATGTATATGCGCACCGCTTCCGTGAGTGTCTTTGGCTGTCTAGCAATAGGAAAGCCACTTAACTCTGTTTCACAGATGTGTGCGGCAATGCGATCGATCAGCTCACGCTGTGCATCTGCTCCAAAAATGCGTATGCGTGGAAAGCTCCCTTCTTGTGAGACTCCGACCTCTCCTAGGCGTGGGAACTTTGTCCTCACGTCTTCGGTGTATTTCCTGACCAATTCGAGGACTTGATGGGCTATCACCCATCTCTCTGGACTCAGCTGTACTGGCTGTTGGTCACCAATGGTATAAACAAGCTCAAATTTTGCAACCGAAGTTTTCATCGCTCTCATCGACGACATCACGCGAGTGCTTGCGGAAGAACTCAAGCGTCTGCAAAAGCGGACGTGCGACGAAATCTCCGCTAATAATGCGTTCGAAAGCCATGGCTTTGTGGGACAAAGTCTGCTCAAGCTGCACGAGAAGGACACCGCCATTCTTCATACACTCTTGGCACATAAATATTATTTCCTTAGCCTGTATGCTACCCAGCTTCAGAGCACGTGAGAATGGCAAATGGTAGATTCGCCTTCCCATCATCCCACCCAACTTCGAGACCAGCATTGGAAACATTTGCTTCGCCTGGGGTTTAGCAACAATAACGCGGTCCAAGCGAGAGCTATCGGCCAGAGAAGACGCTAACATAGGTATGATGACAGACGATTTTCCCTCTCCCATGCTCAACTGCAGAACTGTGTTTTTGCCAGTTTCTCTGCTTCTCATCTTCTGGGCAATAGCTTCTTGATTGTCACGGATCATAAGACCCCTTTCAACCTCCAGAAGCAGGGATTCAGGAAAATCATATGGACTCCAATTCCTGTGGCCTGGATTCTCAATCTTTCTTGTTATCAACGAAATTTAGTAATATTTTTGCGCAATGCACTTCAGCCAGGGCAAGACCATAGTCGATGATGCTATCCTTCCATGGATCTGGTACGTAGCGAAATCGGTTATATCTGAGGTGCTCTAAAAAAAAAAAAAGAAAAGAAAAGAAAAAAAAAGCCTCGGGGATAGGCGTGGCCAAAGATTAGCATCGGACATTATCTGTAAGCCTGTTTGTTCTCGTGTGCATGCCACAAGATTCTTTAAGCTAAGAGCCGGCATAAGTCGCATAGTAAAGCAAACCTGCAAGGCCGGCAGCAGCACACCCAACGCATCAAAGCTACACGACTAGCATGGTACGCGTGAAGTTGTTTCTTATTGTCCAGTACTATTGGATTCTTGTAGATACTTCAATTCCTATCCCAGTTTATGTGATCTATCCTATTGAATGAAACGCGTGTTCCTCGAAGATATTTTAGCATCATTGGTACCCCCTATAATACGCGTTCACTATTTTGACTGGTCCCACTCCTTCAGATCCCATAATAGATACTTATGCTAGGCGTGAAGAGGTAAACCTTAGCTGTGATAGTACCTGGGAAATATGCCCAAGCCCTAAGGTTGGCCAGTTTGTGACTAGAGAAGGTGTACGATCACAAGTGTTCTAACTTGGCTTATACATATACAGTGAACTATAGATAGAAAAAACAACTGATTCTACTGATATGCTGTAGTAAGCAGACTTACCTGTAGTCTTGTACATTGATACGTGGAATCCGAAGAAGAAGGACCTATCAGAATAGTGAATGTGTATTATAGGCGGCGTTAATGGCGCTAAACAATCACCAAGAACACATGTTTCATTCAATAGTATGGATAACATAGATTGCGATTAGATTTGCGATTTTAGAGATCTAAAATAGTATACCTAGCTGGGCAATTTGGAGGGAAAGCCCTGCCTAGCCAATCACCTCCAGCATTACGCAGTGAATACTGTACACTGTACTACTAAGTAGTACTACTACTAGCAGTATAGTCCCAGTAGTCAGTTCTCCAATGACGCCTCATGATAAAACGAGTAACCATGTCGGGACCTAAATACTTATACCCCCTCCACGCTCTATATTATCTATATCCCCAACCCGATCCTCTGAGCGACTCCACCTACCGTAAACAAGCACTATTTGGTGCAGGGATCTACAATGATATGAACGTGCCTGAAGAAGTACAACACAAAATGAACATCGCTGTTCAAACCTCAGTGGATACTTCGACCCTTGAATCTTTAGCGTCAAAGCTGTAACGTGAGTCTTTAGAGCTCACCGTTCCTCAAGCCGGAGAAGGCGAATGGACAAGTTTTCTTACACGACATTGTAAATGGTTTGAAGTCCACTAATGTATACTTACCAATGAATCCTATGCCCAGGAGCTGATATCATACCAGCCCCGGGTGTTGCAAGCACTACTTGCCGACTGCTTACTTTTCCCGCGACCACTGAGGGACCCATTTGCGAGCTCTGGGCATATTTCTGGAATGGAGCTGACGGAAATCACTGCATGGCCAACATTGACGTGTGGCGGACGACACAAATGTACAGCTTGTGATTTTGTCTCGATAGTCTCTAGTAGACGTGTATGCTGCGGTGGATATCAGTGGCAATAGAACAAAACGGATAAAAGAAAAGGTTAAGCTTCTCGAGACATGGATAAAACGCCGTTAACCCAGAAGAGCTAAGGCATGCTGCCTGAATCTGCCGGCAGCCAAGGCCCTCGGGAAGCACGCGCCCCTTTCCCTTTTCGGCGAGTGACCAAGTTGGCAGCCGCACACAATGACATCCATGCCAACTGTACCTCAGGTCATTTTTTCCTCTCCTGTTTCATCTACACAAAGTGACGTAGTCCACCGACTGAGAGGTTTCCGAGTGTGTCTGGAAAGGATTCAACTCCTCCCTCCTCCGTGGTCCGTCCGGTGAGCCCAATCAATCCATCGACAAATTTTTCGTTTACCCGACTAACTGGGTCTCTGCCACTAGTCTAAACCCCCCCGATTGCTGCTCCAACGCACTAGTCATGGTTCGATAAACGGCCCTCTTTGTGATATGACTCTCCGCCGCCATTGAATTTTAACCCAACTACACCGATTTAACCCCCCTTTGAACACCGTCATTCGATTTGCTTTCTGAGTCTACTGACTCTGAAGGCAGCTCGGCTGGTCGAAGATGGAAGAACAGGTATGGATGCCAATGCTACACTGTTGTTCATTCAAATTCTTTTTTTTTTTTTTCTCTTTTTCTTTTTACTTTTTTTTTTTTATTTAAACAGGGACACGAAAAAAATAGTGTCCACCCCACCATTTGCCCTCCCCTCCTCTCCCCTCATGCCCCTCCCTGCGCATGTTTGCATAAACAATTACTCTAAAAATGCCCTTCATGATAAACTGAATCTAACATATATGTAATCACATAGGTAGCGAATGCCATAGAAATCGCCTGGAATCCTTCCTCAGACCAAGCCCTCAAGGCGCAAGCCTTCGATTACCTGAACCAACTCCGTACCGATCCCTCGGGATGGCAAGTCTGCCTCGCCCTATTCACAAAGACTCCCCAGCACTCTGAGATCATACGACATGTAGCACTAGAGGTGGTAAACAGTGCCGCCCAGGCTGGGCTGATTGACCCTCAGGCTCTAGGATATGTCCGGGACGGCCTCATGAGCTACCTCCGCCAGGTCTATGGACAGGAGAACGCAAACCCAGATCCTCCCAATATTCAGAACAAAATCGCGCAGACGATCACCTTCCTCTTCTCAGCGCTCTACGGTAACGGCTGGGAGTCGTTCTTCGATGATCTCTTGAGCTTAACATACAAGGGTGCCTCGAGCACGTCACCTGACAATATGCTGGGAATTGTATTTTACCTTCGAGTGGTCAATTCTATCCATGATGAAATCGGTGATGTTCTCGTGTCCAGATCTCGTACGGAACAGGATAGGGCAAATTCACTCAAGGACCTGATCCGAATGAGAGACATGCAAAAGATCGCAAGCTCGTGGCAACAGATTTTGTCGGAATGGCGGGACGGCAACGACCTGATCGTAGAGATGTGTTTGAAGGCAGTTGGTTCCTGGGTTAGCTGGATTGATATTAGCCTAGTGGTCAACCAGACAATGCTCGATCTCTTATTCCAGCAACTGGCCCGGGCACAGAAGGCGGAGCTCAGGGCGGGAGAGGAGAAGGTGCGGGATGCAGCCGTCGACGTTTTCACGGAAATTATCGGCAAAAAGATGAAGCCGGAGGATAAGATTGATATGATTATTTTCTTGAACCTGGACACCATCGTTTCTCAGCTCTCCAACAGCCCCCCTCTTTGTGAGAATAGGTTTACCTTCAAATACGATACGGATCTAGCCGAAACAGTTGCGAAGCTAGTCAATAGTACAGTGGTTGATGTTGTGCGGGCTTTGGAGCAGGAGAACATCTCTGCAGAATGCAGGGAGAAGGCCAATGGGCTATTGCAGGCCTTCCTTCCGCACATCCTCAGATACTTTTCCGATGAGTATGACGAGGTCTGCTCGACCGTCATCCCCTGTGGCAGCGACCTGCTTCAATACTTGAGAAAGCTCTCTAAGACCGACCCTTCTCTGACCGCGCAGCATTCTCCGATCTTACTCCCTATCTTGAAGGCCATCATTGCCAAGATGCGATATGACGAGACCTCCTCATGGGGCGACGAGGATGACCAGACTGACGAGGCAGAGTTTCAGGAGCTCCGCAAGAGACTAGCCATTATGCAACAAACTGTCGCCACAGTGAACGAACAGCTCTACATAGACGCCGTCTCCGAGGTTGTCGCCACAACCTTTGAGAACCTACGACAGTCGGGTGCGCAGTTAGACTGGCGTGATCTGGACCTTGCATTACATGAGATGTTCCTCTTTGGAGACATTGCCGTGAAGGCAGGCAGTCTCTACACGAAAAACCAACCCAACAATCAGGCAGCAGAGCGACTTATTGAGATGGTGGCAAGAATGGTAGAGTCCGGTAGGTATCACATATCAGGGACCATGCGCGCCTCCTCTGACGATCTACAGACATTCGCTCCTTCACGCATCCGGCGACACAGTTACAGTACATGGAAATCTGTGTTCGTTACAGTTCATTCTTCCTGTACCACACTCATCTCATCCCCGGTGTCTTGGAAAGCTTCCTTCAACTGGTTCACCACCCCACGAAGAAGGTTAAAACCAGATCCTGGTATCTTTTCCAGCGGTTAGTCAAGCAATTGAGAAGCCAGATCGGCAATGTTGCGGAGACAGTCGTCCAGGCCCTAGGCGATCTTTTGGTGATCCAGGCGGAAATTCCTACGGAAGGTGCTGACGGTGATGAAATGTCGTCGGAGGATCATGAAGGGTCCGCAGATGCTGTTTTCAACAGCCAGCTTTACCTATTCGAAGCCGTTGGCATTATCTGCTCCACCCCGACTATCCCTGCCGACAAGCAGGTCCTGTATGCGCAGTCGGTACTAACCCCTGTGTTCATGGACATGGAGAAACACCTGGCACCGGCGAAGTCCAACGACGAGAAGGCTTTGTTACAAATACATCATGATATCATGGCCCTTGGAACACTGGCAAAGGGCTTCTCAGATTGGATGCCAGGAACCAGCTCACCAACCTCTCTGCCCGCGGCTGAGGTTTCTGAGGCATTCTTGCAGGTGTCCGAGGCTACTCTTGTCGCTCTTGAATCCCTTAAAACCTCTTTCAACATTAGGACGGCCGCCCGATTTGCCTTTTCCAGACTCATTGGTGTGCTTGGCTCTCGTATTCTCCCACAGCTCCCGAGATGGATCGATGGCCTACTAACCCAGACTTCTACTCGGGATGAAATGGCTCTTTTCTTGCGGCTGTTGGACCAAGTGATCTTCGGTTTCAAGAGCGAAATCTACGCCATACTCGATGCACTATTGACTCCTTTCCTACAACGGGTGTTCGCCGGGATTGCCGATCCCACTACCGGTACCGACGACGAGATCCAGCTTGCGGAGTTGAAACGGGAATACCTGAATTTCTTATTGGCGGTTTTGAACAATGACTTGGGTGCTGTGATCATCAGCGAGAGTGAGTTTTGGCCCTTCCGCCTCGAATCATAAATGATGCAGGGACTAACATGAGCAGGAAATCAACCCATGTTCGATACCGTCATCACAACCATCGAACACTTCGCCAAGGATGTCGAGGACTTTACCACTGCGAAGATGGCATTCTCAGTACTCTCCAAAATGGGCAGTTCCTGGGGCGGGCCTGATATCGCACCGGAGGCGACGAACGGCACCGCCCAGCAGGCTGCTCTCCCCGGATTCGCACAGTTCATGATCAGCCGAATGTCGCCCTTGTGTTGGGCACTTCCCACCACCCCGTCCTTCAATCCCAAAGATGCACAGGCCAAGCAGGTTCTCGCCGAAGCTGGAGGATTGCAGCGCACCATCTATTGCAAGACCGGCATGGAGTATATCCAGTACCTTCGAGACCAAGAATTGCCTGGCATGGGAATGGGTACCGAACTCATAGAGGAGTTCTTGAACGCATTAAGCCGGCTAGACTTGAAGGGATTCCGGCAGTTCTTCCCGGTATGTATTTCCAGGTAGCAGTTAACCTAAGACCTCCAGCTAACAACCACCACAGTCCTTTATCCAGCGATTGAGCGCATGATCCTTTTGCATTCCATATTCTTTCTTTTCCCTTATGCTCCTCGATCATTCTCACTGTTTTTCTTCCTCTTAGATTCCCCCACGGTTTGGTTTGATGACTGATGTTCTCATGTGATCCTTTACACTGATAGCTCTGTCGCCGGCAATTCCTCTGTCATTTTCCCAGAAAAAAGCAGAAAACTCAAGAAAAAGAAAAAAGAAAGGTATATAGTTCGCGATGCATATTTGCATAAAACAGGCGTTGATTACTGCGTTAATCACCAACAGAGTGAAGAAGAGAAAAACAAAAAGGACTTCCCAAATTCCATATAAAATAAATCATTAACAAAACGGAAAGAAAGGGGGGTAATGGTCGAGGCAGCGGACAGGGATGGGGCCGGGGGTGTTAGTTGGTTGGTTGATTGATTGATTGATACCTATCGTCGGAGCTCAACAGATACCTTATGCAAGTCGGGAGGTTTGAGTACTGTCTTGGCTTTCTACTTTCTATATGGAGGATTCATTTGTGTGTAGACTTCGAGTTATTCATGAGAGATGATGCGGATGTTTCTAAGATAAGATAGTTAGCAAATAGAAATGAAGGACACTGAGAATATACTATCATACTATTCATTCTTTTGGTTTATTTTGTATATAAGCGAACTATATAGGGTACTAACTGAATCCAGAAAGAAAAAGGAAACCAATGCAAACCATCCAAGATCGCAGAGTCATTAAAGGCAATAATTTCATGAAGAGATCCATAGACGCTTTTTCTATAAAGGAAGAGGAAAGAGAGAGATCACCGCGTCTCACCCTCCTGTTTCAGAACCTGCAATTCCATCTTCTCGAATCCCTCAACGGCAGCCCCGTACCTCTCGAATACGCCCTTCTGATATCCATCTGCAATCTTCTCGATGAAATCTTCTTCCCTCCACCTCTGCCCAATGAGATCCTCAAACGTCTGTCCATTCTTCCTCTCCAAAGCCCAGACAGCCTTGTAGGCCGCTCCCAGCGCACAGGCATTATCGCCAATCTCTAGCTTATATACACCGTCACTTCCACCGAGGATCTCACCCGCCACCTTGGCAATCGCCTTATTCTTCGATCCACCACCGACAAGATACACCCGTCGTGGCTGAGCTGGCATACCCTGTCCAGGACTAGTGGTAAGACCGCGAGAGCGCAAGCGAAGGGAAAGGAACTGGCTCTCGACGATAGCACGAGCCTCATCGACCGGCTTGTTCCACCCACCATTCGTCTCATGCAGACTACCATCAGCAGGGTTATAATCAAAGCGCCACTGTCCAGCTCGCAGGTTCGGGACGATCTCCGGCCGAGGGAAAAAGAGGCCCATCTTCATTGGATCAGAATCCTTCTTCTGACCCATGGGCGCCGTTTCCAGTGTGGTCTTGTCGAAGTTAGCCCATGGGTCTTTGTCCCCGGCCATTCCTAGTTTATCGTTGATGGCATCGCGGATCTGTTCGCGGGCCAGGCCGCCGTTCTTGTAGCAGAGCATGAACATGTACAGGCCCGCTGTGGTGGGGTGGTTAAAGAAATGTGTGGCTGGATCGGGCATGTAGTTGGGAGTGGACATGAGGAAGGTGGTTGAGGTGCCCAGGGAGACCATTGCGTCGGAGGGACGCAGTGGCAGAGCCAGGATGGTGGCTGGGTTGTCACCTGTTGCGGGGATGATGGTGCAGTCTGAGCTGAAGCCGTAGCGTTCTATGTAGTAGCGGTCGATTTGGCCTAGGTTGATGCCGCCATCTTCGGGGACGGCACCGAGCTTACGCTTGAGGTCTTCCACGCCAGAGGGGCCGGCACAGAGTTGCAGGAGCTTCTCGTCGTAGGCGCCTTGCTTGATGTTCCAAAGGTTCATACCGCAGACGTCAGAAATGTCAAAAGGGGCGATGTGGCCCAGGAAAAGGGATGCGAGGAAGGAGGAGACGAGTGAGATTCGAGAGGTCTTTTTGTATACTTCTGGGTATTTTCTCTGGAAGCGGAGGATCTGGGGGCCGGTAAATCTCTATCGAAGGGAGGGCCATTAGTATAGCTCTAGTCACCGGAATCTTCGGAAAGGAAAGAAAGGGAAAGAAGTAGAGGGCAGGAATCAACGTACATGATGTGCCTTGCTTCCTGTAGCATATGCCAGCTTGTCTGCGCCGCCCAGGAAGGCATCAAACTCATCACACTCCTTCTGCGTACTGGAATCCTGCCAGTTGGGACTATAGGGATGGGAGAAAGCCCCGCTCAATTGGTCCTCCAGGGACTTGCCAGAGTCCAATTCCTTGAGAAGACGCTCCGCATCCTGTGCCCAGTAGACACTGCCATGCTGCTGTCCAGCACCACTGATGCCCTTCACCCGGGCGAAATCCAAACCTTGCTTCTTCAGACCCTCGAGGACGACATCCAGGGCCTGCAACCACAATGCCACAGGGGCATAGACCTCATGCTCAGCTTCATTGGTGATGACACCCTTTTTAATGGGAAAGCCGCGGGAGTCCGCATCGAAGTCGAATTTGGAGACGTAGACGACTTTCAAGTCGGAATTGACGACTAGAGCTTTGAGCTGTTGGGTGGAAAGGTCGAAACCGATGTACAGTGGGCCTTGCATTGTGGCAGTGATTGCAAAGTTATCTTTTCTATGTCGCTATGGTGCAATGGAGGTATTTCATTCATTCAATTCAGTTCAATTGTGTGTGAAAGTTTGTAAACGATAGACGCCGAATATGCGGTGGGAGATGACGTCGATAAGTAGTCACACCGATAAGAGACAAAGAATAGAGAAGAGAAAAAGTTGAACAACGACGGGGCGCAACGAGGATAAAGAAAGACAGAACGTTGTTAAATAGTAAGGGTCCCACTGGCAAGCATAAAAATTGGGTCATTGAGTGGGATCAGTCTTTTCTTGACTCCATCTTCTATGTATCTCCTATTGCGAACATTCCAATTCAACCCGCAATTTATCCCCCCCTTCCCACTTCGGCCACTTCAGAACCCACTTTTGCAATACATTGTGAATTTTTCTCCAATACAATCGAAAAATACCCCAGAGAACCAATCAGTTACCCACTGCGTACTCCGTACTTTTGATTCCTGCATTCTTTTTGGCTTGTTCTCCCGCCATTGAACCGCAATTGCACATCGTGATGTCAAAAAATAATAATAATAATCAAATGAAAAGTTTCATCTGCAACTAGTACAATTTTTGTAAATCATTTTTATTTATAGACCCACTCACCACCACCGGGAATTTACCCAATTTACCCGATGAACGGTGAAAGGGCTCTGTTAAATTCGATCTTCCACACTAGACAAGGGGACCCTTATAACCAGTTGCTTACTTTCTGCTCTAGAGTTAATTAATATTCGTCACGATCGAACGTCTAGAACGGCTTTTATCCAGGTTCACGTGGACACTGGGATCGTACCTCGTGAACAATCCAAGAACAGTCGAGAACTGCTTGGCTATTTTTTTTTTTAAAAAAAA